CCACTTCAGCCGTTCCTCATGAAGAGCATCGCTTTCACAGGTCCTTGGCACCATTTTGGTTGCGCCTGCCTCCTGGACACGTTGCCAGTCTCTGTCCAGTGTCCTTCTTGGCAACCTGCTGCTGCCCAGAACTGGACACAGTACTCCAGGTGAGGTCTGACCAGAGCAGAAGTACAGTGGCACTATTACTTCCCTTGATCTAGATGCTATACTCCTATTGATGCAGCCCATGTTGCCTGAGGGAGATGCATGAGATGGTGTGCAACTGGATGGCATCATGCTAGAGACTGCTGGAACAGGTGACTTGGAACCCACTGCTTTTCTTATGCTCCAATGCTCTGATGAAAATAGGCTCTGTTCAACCAAGACTCCTAGATCCTTTTCACATGTACTGCTCTCAAGCCAGGTGTCACCCATCTTGTATGAACTGAGTTTTTTTAAAACTGACTTCTATGAACTGAGTTTTTTTAAAAAAATATACAGTAGCTCCTTATACCTTTGGAGGCTATTTTAAAAGAGTTATTGAAGCTCCTCTTTTAAGGGGTGTGTGTGACTGCATGTGTGTCAGGCTTCAGGGAATCTGATCCCTCCCACAGTGGGCAGCCAATAATTAGATAAGCAAGAAGAGTTCTTAAAGGTAAAGGTAAAGGTACCCCTGCCCGTACGGGCCAGTCGTGTCCGACTCTAGGGTTGTGCGCCCATCTCACTTAAGAGGCCGTGAGCCAGCGCCGTCCGAAGACACTTCCGGGTCACGTGGCCAGCGTGACGAAGCTGCTCTGGAGAGCCAGCACCAGCGCAGCACACGGAAACGCCGTTTACCTTCCCGCTATAAAGCGGTACCTATTTATCTACTTGCACTTAAGGGTGCTTTCGAACTGCTAGGTGGGCAGGAGCTGGGACCGAACGACAGGAGCTCACCCCGCCGTGGGGATTCAAACCGCCGACCATGCGATCGGCAAGCCCTAGGCGCTGAGGTTTTACCCACAGCGCCACCCGCTGTGGGTTCTTACCAAGTTCTTACCAAGTCTTTATTCACTATTCACAGAGAGAGGCTTTGAAAAGTGCCTCTCTTGCAGTAATGGCGTTGCTCTGAGTAAAGCCCCCACCCCCTCCATCTCTCGTATTATACGCCATCCCTGTGTTGGCTGATCTGTGCTTTCTGCCTCTGAGCTTTCTGTTCTCCTACTTTCAATGCCCGCCGGGTTCTGGGAGAGGGGGATCTGGAATGCTTTCTAAAGACACTGAGTCTGTCAGCTGTCTCTCCCCTGGTGCTTCTTTTTCCTGCTGCTCCTCTCCCAATAGCTCCCAGCTTCTCCTCTCTGCAGCCTCCGAGCTATGACCTTCCGCAAACCACTGTTGTAAATCTACACTGTCTCCCTCTTCTCTGGCAGGTTCAGGCTGCCATTCCTTCCCCTCCTCTGCCCAGTCCCTGGCAATGTGTGATGCTGCTGTTTAAATCTCCTTAGCCACACGCCCACAAGGCTTCCCTTGTGGTACATACTGGGCCCGTATGATTGTGTTACAAGTGATCACTCACTTGCATGGCAGCAAATGAGAGATTTTGCAGAATTTACTTGCTTCACCAAAGCACTGGAAGATTCCACTTGAAGTTAAAATGGGTTGTTAGGAATTCAGGATAAAGGGCACTATAGAAACTTGATTTATAATTCATGTTCTTTGGGCTTCACTCTCACTTTTGGAGTTTACCAAATTCATGCGTTTGCACCATGGTGTCTCCAGCAGTGCTTCTGGAGTGTAGGTTGTTTAAAAATCAAGGATTTGTTATGAGAATGCTAAATGAAAGGGTTTTCCAAAATAGCAAAATAATTCAGCCCTTTGTTTTGTTACATCTTCAGATATGGTCTTAGTGCTTCCTATTCAACTAATCATGATACCATAGAAGTATAATTGTGTGATTCTGTCTCTCATGCCACAGCAACCGGTTAGTGTTGATACTCCAGAATAAGAAGTTCTTGTCTCACAGCAAGATCTGAGCGAATTAAGGAGGGTTGGAAGAAAAGTGCCTGAAGCCACAGAGCATCAAAAACTTAGGGAAGTTTTTAATGTTTGATGTTTTATTGTGTTCTGTTGGGAGCTGCCCAGAGTGGCTGGGGAAACCCAGACAGATGGGTGGGGTATGTATGTATGTATGTATGTATGAACAAACAAACAAACAATGCAGTGGTTTGCTTCTCCTTTAGATGTAAACATTAACCTCTTCGTCCCTTGTAGATGCTTCCATCACATCTATGTGGGCACAGGACTCATATGTTCTAGGATTCTTTTGTAAGGGGACAGATTAATTTGGCTTCTGGTTTGCTGGAGAATAGAGTGACTCCTGCAAATACCAAGGTTTGCCATCCCTCCTGTAGAGTTCACAAAACTGTCTCAGTCGCCATTAAGTAATCATTCTGAAATGTCCCAGTACTTGCAGCAATGGCTCCATTGAGCTCCACACAGTCCCTTCCATCTTGGAGATCTCTTTTCTTTAGGAGCCAACTAATTCCTTGGCAACCTTATTCTATAAAGAGTTCAGAATTGAACGAGTGCCTCCATGAACAGATTTCACTGTACCTTAACTCCTAAAGGCTGGCAATTCAGAGAGCCATCCTTCTGTTCACTCTCTTGCAGCCCTCATTAATATTCAACAGCATTCTGTGCCACCCTATTGAATAATTCACTTCCTTGCTTCTAAGCCATCACAGCGTTAATTTCTCTACAATTACTTAAAACAGATATGACTGAATTTCAGCTATGGAAAAATGGTTCCTTGATAAGACTGGTGTCTGGAGGCATCTGTACCATATTTGCCATTTTTCTGAAACCAAGAAACCAAGCCTTATGAGGAATGGTTGAAGGAGCTGGCTGCATATGTTTAGCCTGCAAAAGAGGAGACTGAGACAAGATATGATAGCCATCTTCAAATATCTAAAGGGCTGTCACATGGAAGATGGAGCAAGCTACCGTAGTTTTCTCCTGCTCTGGAGGGTAGGACTCAAACCCATGGCTTCAATTTATAAGAAATGAGATTCTGGCTAAACATCAGGGGAAACTATCTGAAAGTAAGAGCTGTTCGACAGTGGAACAGTCTCCCTCGGGAGTAGGTGGACTCTCCTTCCTTGGAGGTTTTAAAACAGAGCTTGGATGGCCATATGTCAGGGGTGCTTTAGATGAGGCTCCTGCATTGCAGAGGGTTGGACTGGATGACCTTTGGGGGTCTCTTCCAGTTCTACAATTCTACGATTTGTTGAAAGCCACTTTCCTACTCCGTCCCCATTTTGGAAGCCCAGAGGTAGAGATGGTTGTTTGTGCTCCTTCACACAGGACATTTGTTACATGCACACCTGAGATGCTTTAAGGGTATTTCTAAAAATGTAACATGTGGATGTGGCCAATGGGTGTATCCTATATGTACCCTTCTCAGAACTGGCTGTGATCACACAGAATGTGCTTCTACAGCAAACCCAGGTTTGCATCGTGGCAGAAATAGACCTAAGGCAAAAGAACATCCTGGTAGGGTACAGGCTGCTCTGAGCCATCCATTCCCAAAACAAAATTACCTTCCCAGAATGCCTTTTGGTGACTAGGGACTCAAAGGAATTGTGAAGAACTGATAAATATGGTTGTGTGTTTACTCTTTCACGGAAATTATACAGAAGGGTTTGCACAGAAAAGGATTAAGAAGCCAAGATAATTGCTGAAAGGTCTTTAATGGGCAGGTGCCTCAGCCACATTCTTGGGTTAAGGTACAGTGGTACCTCGGGTTACAAACGCTTCAGGTTACAGACTCTGCTAACCCAGAAGTAGTATCTCAGGTTAAGAACTTTACTTCAGGATGAGAACAGAAATTGCATGGCGACAGCACAGCGGCAGCAGGAGGCCCCATTAGCTAAAGTGGTACTTCAGGTTAAGAACAGTTTCAGGTTAAGAACAGACTTCCAGAACGAACTGAGTTCTTAACCAGAGGTACCAATGTAAATGGCTTGGGAAGGATCTCTTCCATCCGCAAGTCAAGGATGAGGGACAATCCAGGGGCTTGTCCACCCTAGACTTTACTGTGAGTTGAAGCCACTTGTCCATTTGATGTTGCCCTCAGTCAATGGATTCTAATTTTCCCAGTCTTGGGTGAATCCAAAAAGAAACATCCAAACCCAATTCACTGTTGCCAGGCTACCAGGAGCACTGCTGTGGTTTGCATTCTCTTCCCTAATTAAATGCTGCTCCTCATCCATGCTGCCTGCCTCTTCTGGCTCTTTCAGTTAAGGTGGCACCAGAAAAATATATGTGATCTGTGGAAGGCTTGGCGAAATTCAGAGTTTGCTTGTTGGTAATGTAGAAGGCAAAGGAGGACCTTCTGTCTCCTGAATGGTTGTATTTGGGAGAAACATTTTCTGGTGGGAACTGCAGGATTCCTAAGCTTGGGTTTTTCTATCTGTTGCTCACGCAACACCCCTTTCTCTAGAATTTTCCACCCAGTAAAGACCATAGAAGGATCCACAGAGAAGACTGAAGCTTCTCGATCCCTTGGTCTACTGAGCTCATTATCGTCTTTTCTGACCAGTTCCAGCTGTCTAAGGTCTCAGGCAGATGCCTTTCCTAACCCACAACCCAAGATCATTTGATCAAGGATGCCAGATGACTGATGCTACAACCTTATGCATGCAAAGCATTAACTCTGCTATGGGCCTGTTACGGAAAAATCTAGGTGAGGCTGCTCAGTCACCCAGCTTGTTGGGCAGAGCCTGCAGGTCCCTGCGGAATAAAGGAAGGAGTCCAGCCACCAACCGGAGCAAATAGCTGTAGACCAAAGTTTATTGTGCAACAGGTTCAAAGAGGAATTTTGAACGCCAAGGATGGGGTGACAAAGACTTTTAAAACTTTCCCAACATATCCCAGAATACAGTTCGTACAGCATCATTGCTACATCACTGACATGTCACAAAAGGGGAGGGGTAGACAGGGGTTACACTAGTTTAACCTTGGCAGACATGTCCAGACAAGTCCTTGGTACAAGATTAGCAAAAGCAGACATGGCAGGTATAAGATTAGCATAGGCAAACACCTCTGAAGTCCCACCACCCAAAGTACAATAGAACTTCCTTTGCCTGTCTGGAGCCTGAGGCAAGTCTGGTGAGGGGATTAGGCTTTCCTTGGCCAACAATCAGCTCAGCAATTGTCACCTCTGGGAACTTCCTGGAGTCCCTTTTTCAAGGAGAAAATAGCTTTGGAATGGAGGAAACTGGCAAAGGAGTTGATTTTATATTATTTTTAAAGCTAGTTAACTTCCCTGGGCTGTCAAGTTGAAAGGATATATTCAGGCAAAATATTAGTAACATTTAACTTTAAAGATTGCTCCCCCCCCCTGTAATTTCCGTAACAGGCCCTACCTGCACTACAGAGCCACTGTGGTGCCTTGGCAAAGAAATGGGAGTTGTGAACCCGGAATTCCCTGCTTATGATCTTCTTACTCCTCTTCCATGAACTCAGTTCAGGGGCTTTGACAGGCCACCTGGTGCCGCAGAGCAATGCTGACATTCCCCAGAGCTGCTCCAAAAAGTGGACATGAAGTGCTTGGGCATTCTAAACTGCTATATACAATTATTAGACTCCAATATTCTGCACAGAGATATTAGCAGTTCCAGACAGGAAATTAATTTCTTCTTTTCATTTCCCACAATAAAGTAGCCAGATGCACTAGGTGTGCTTTGGCATACGTAAGTCTGACATTTGCTTCTAAACAATGGTGGGGATGAAGTAAAAGGCTGGGAAACATCTTCCCCATTGCTTGCTAGACAAGCTCACTGGGTGTAAGTTATATTCCATTATAATCAATGGGAATTTCCCCATTGACTTTAATGGGAAATAGATTGTTTCATCCACATTTCTTATTTGCAATTACTTTCAGAGATTTTCCAGGGGAGAAAATAAATAATTGTATCAAACTGGGTTAGTGAAATTATAACATGGATGAAAAAGTCACGCGCCTTGATTCTTGGAAAGTTTCCAGCAAAGTTTCCAATTGTTAAGGAACTCCAAACATCGTAGAACGCCTATGCCAAAACAGGCCAGTTTAGGATATGAGATTTGAAATTACATGTATTCAAAACTGATAGTTCATAGAGATTTGGATCCTTCCAAATTTTTGTAAATAATTTCTTTAATTATATACCCGGCTTTCCAATCCCTACTTTTTGTTGTTAGAATGACAAATTCTGCTTACAAATTATATGTTTTCATTTTAAATATAGTATACTCTTCTGCCCATACATGCCATGTATCTTATTTAATCTGATTCACTGGCTCATTATTCTAAAATAATAGAAGAGTCTCCTTCCCATACAAGAAACCACAAGGATGATGGAGGACTGTTGTCCTCTGCCCTGAACAGTCTTCTCTCCACACCTGAGGCACATTCATCCTACAATCATCAGAACTGGTTTAACAGGCAGCCCCTTTCCCCAGGAACTCCGGGAATTGTAGTTGTGTAGGGAAAGGAATGCTACGAATCTACAACAGAATGTACCTTATGGCTACAAACCCCAGCTTCCTGTGCAGAAATGCTTAAGAGTTAAGGTGGTAAAAATACTGGCATAAGGTGTGTGATATAGATAGTGCCCTTCTGAGCCCTTCATCTGACACTGCACATTCTTCCTTCTTCCTTTTCCACAGGGGGGAATGTATTGGGACACCCGATCTCAGTGATCATGGGCAGCAGGAGGAGTTGTGCTAAGACCAGACCAAGTCATTACCAAGGAGGCAGGCTTAGTTGTTGTTTGAGGACTATCCCTGCCTCCAGGTTTGGTCCTGACAGGAAGGATACTGGAATCAGCAAGGGAAACCCACATGACCTGAAAGTGTTGCTGTGCAATGCCAGGTCAATGATGAATAAAACCACTGCCATCCATGACCTGATTGTGGATGGAGGACTTGACCTGGCATGTGTGACAGAGACTTGTTTGGATGAAACAGATGGGCCTTTCAGCTGATTCCCTGGTGGCCCGCTGGAATGCAGAGTTAACCAGGGTTATTGACTGTCTGGCTCCGAAGTGCCCTCTACGATTGCATGGATCCCAGACAGCCCCGTGGTTTTTCCTGGAGCTGAGGGTGTTGAAACAATCGTTGAGATGGCTAGAGCTCAACATCAAGCCTACCAAGTGGCAATGGCGACGGTGAAGAAGACCTTCTTCACTGCCTCTATTGCATCTGCAGAAAACAGCAGCAGGAGACTCTTTCGCAATCTATTGGAACCACCTTCGTCACCAGGGTCTGGTAGGGACCCCAAGATCTCCTGCAATGCTTTTGCAAAGTTTTTTGCAGATGAAGTCGCTCAGATTCGGAAGGAGGTAGACTCCGCCGTGGGATCAGGACCGGGGCAGGAGAGTGCTAGAGTCCTGTCTAGTCATGTTACATGGGATCAGTTCCAATCTGCTACCTCCGAGGATGTGGACAGGCTGTTTGGACAAGTGAAACCGACCACCTGTCTCCTTGATCCTTGCCCACCCTGGCTGATAAAAGTGAGCTGGGAAGGGCTGGACGATGGGCTCTGCTGGGTGATGTATGCTTCCCTCTGCGAGGAAGCCGTCCCAGACCTGCTGAAAGAGGCGGTCATTAAACCGCTTCTTAAAAAAACATCTTTAGACCCGGCCAATATGGCCAACTATTGCCCAGTCTCAAATCTACCATTCTTGGTCAAGGTGATTGAGCGGGTGGTTGCTGAACAACTCCAAACACGCCTGGAGGATGCGGACCATTTGGATCCCCTCCAATTGGGATTCAGGCCTCACCATGGGACTGAAACTGCCTTGGTCGCGCTGGTCGATGATTTCCGGCAGGCTAGGGACAAAGGTGAGAGCTGTTTCCTAGTTTTGCTGGATCTCTCAGCTGCCTTTGACACCACTGACCATAACATCCTTCTGGACCATCTAGAGGGGCTGGGAACTGGGGGCACTGTTATACAGTGGTTCCGTTCCTTTCTCCTGGGCCATGTTCAGAAAGTGGTGTTGGGGGATGAGTGTTCAGACCCCTGGGCTTTCACTTGTGAGACCCTGCCTGCCGGCAGACTGTCTCACCAGAGTGGTGCATGAGAAAATTTGTGGGAGGAGAAGTCTATTGAAGGCCATGGGGGTTATGCTCTGCCTTCCACAGCCCGAGGCAGCAAATGCTTCCGAATGCCAGTTGTTGGAAACCACAGGAGGGGTGCCTTCTCTTGCGCTGGAGTCCTGCTTGCTGGTTTTCCCCACAAGCATCTGCTTGGCTATAAGAATAATGATGATCATGGGGGGGCCACCAGGGGGCGCATTGGAAGATGACCGACAATAACATCTCTCCGACCCACACGAGGTAATTAAGAGGCTGATATGGGAGTATGCAGCCTCCCTTGCCCCCCAACGGAATGGGGGGCACTGCCTTGCCTGCTGTGCCCATAATTCACCCCCGGATTCGAAAGAAGGGGGTGTGGGGCACTAGGCACGAAGCCCTCGGGTGGGGTCGGCTCTCCTGGATGCTGTCTCTAATCACGCACTGGTTTGCATCAGCTCGAAATATATAATTGGAAAAAGAAGCAAATGCACATACTTCAAGTGAAGATCGGGAGTAAAGACTGCTGATTAATGGGATCTCTGTGATGCGGAGCAACGGGCTGGACAATAAATTAAGTGAAGACTCATTATTAAAAGATCGGTATGTCGGAGCGAAACGGAAAGGGGGGGAGGAAAAAACTTTTCTTTTTTTGTCTTATGTGAGTACCCAATAATCCTCTCCCCCCCCCGAGAGAAAGAATTGTTGCAGATTACTAATCACAAGCAGGAGATTAAGAACTGTGTGGAAATGAATTACTGATCAAAGAGAGGACTGGTGGGAATCATTGGGAATGGAAAGTTTTGTGACGCAGTTACAAATGGAGATTCGTTAAGACAGGCCTGCCCACAGGAGGACGAGGGTGAGGAGGACCATGGTCATCGGAATGTGAATGTATGGTTATCGGAATGTGAATTTGACCTGGCAGAGCCCCCTGAGATATAGATTGGCAAGCCTGTGGAAATCAACGGACAGACTGTGGGAATGTTCTTTGCGGAGGTGTGGAAATGGCATCTGTCCTTTATGTGATATGGCTCTTGGAGAGTGTAAAATCCACACAGGATATGTTTGTTTTCAACCCGCTTGTGAAGATTATCAGAGATCACAAAGAAAGGAATATATGATAACAACAAGAAGATGAGGAAAATAACAAAGAGACTATCTGGACAGAACTGGACAGAACTGTGTAATTAAAGCAGCAGTAAGAGTGATGTTTGGATCCTTTTCGGAGCTCGGAGTATGGGCACCCCCAACAAAATTTTAAAAATTTGGCTGTATAATTTGGAACTAATGTGATTTGGAATTAATGTGACTTGATTGGCCTGTTAATAAAAATTATTTTTAAAAAAAGAATAATGGTGATCATGATAATAATTTTATTATCTATACCCCGCCCCCAATCTGGCTGGGTTTCCCCCGCAACTCTGGGTGGCTGCTGTGATGCTGGACCAGAAGGGCCATGGGGCTGACCCTGCTGGCTCTTCTTATCTCCTTATGCACAGAGCACGAGAGCTACTCTATACACGTCTGGCCTAGGACCTAGTGGCATTCATACAATACAAAGGCCTTTCCCGATGAAAACCTGTTCTTTCTTACGATGTGCAGGACCATGAGGGTGATCTAGAAACGAGAAGAGGGAGTGTGGAGGGGCCCCTGGGGTCGGGGTGTGGCGAGTGCAGAGGGAAGAGTCAAGGACCATCCGTAGAATCTTCTGGGCATGATCCATGTTCTCACGTAGCTGCATTGTTTTATACTTTCCGGATAGCCCATGGTCATCTTCTAAAGTGCGGGGTTCTATTTCCCACATCCAGCAGGGACAGGAGGGCTTTCTTTCTTTCTCCCTCCCCGTCTCCTGTGTCGCGATGACTTCAGCCGCTCGGCTCCCCCCCGCCTTGCTGGGCGCGCCCATTGGCTGCCAGCCCCGGCGGCGGCGGCGTCTCCTCCCGGCCGCGTGTTGCAGGAAGTGCCGGTCGGGCGCTGCAGCCTCTCAGCTGATCGGGGCGGCGGAAGCGCCTCCCCGCTTGGCCGGCGCCGGACTTTGCCCGGGGAAGCGCGCCGCGGAGCGCCGGACTTCCTTCTGGGAGCATCTCGCTGCTTTCTCTCTCCGCCGCTTGGGCCATGGAAGGGAAGCCGAGCGCGCCTCCGTCCTTCCCGCGGGGTCCCCGGCTCAGCCCCTGACAAAAGCAGCCCTTCGCCGGAGACTCGCGCGCCCGGCGCCTCGCCCTCTCTTCTTCTCCGCGGAAGGCAGGAAATATCTATCTATCTATATTAACGAAGATTCCTCGCCGACCTCGAAGGAGAGGAGGAGGAGGAAGGAAGGGGGATGCCCTGCCGCCGCTCCCCCTTCCCCGCCAGACTGCGATGAGCGCATCTGGGGGGCGTCGGCATGGCATCCTTCAAGCCCTTCGGCCAGGCTGGGCCGAGAGAAGACGAGGAGGACGGAGGCGACTTGGACCGCTCTCTCCAGCAGATGCTTCGGGCGATAGTGGAGGAGAGGAACCGCGTCAACATCCGCCAGGAGATCAGCGGGCTGGGTGAGTGAGTGGCCGGGGCTTCCCGGGGAGGAAGAGGAGGGCGGACACCCCCGCCAGGGCAGCTCTCTGCCCCGATGCGCTGCCGTAGCGGTGCGTGTTGCTGCTGCTGCTGCTGAAACAGAATAAACGCAGCGCGTAGCTTTGGCCGGCCTTGGCCACCTTTTCAGATTGGAAGAGACAGACCAACAGGGCCAAAGGCAACCCGGTAGCCCCAGAAACCTGGCAGCTGACCCTTCTTCGTGCCATGGAGATAAAGGGAGGAGGGGGAGTTCATATGCTGCGTTTCTCTGAGCGGGCGAGGCTGCTGTCAAAGGCACAGAACCAAGACATCGCGCTCTCTTTGTTGTTATAAAAGTGGCAGCCCAGTTTTTGGCTACTTTATAGATCCATAGCTTTTAGGGTGTGAACCAGATGCAAAAGAGGCCTACTTAATTTCTAAGAAGAAGACGTGCCAGTACCCAGGTCTGTTTGGAAACAGGCTCCTGTGATCTGCAAATCCTTCCGCCAGATTCCTGATAAGATTGAGCTCTTTGTCGATATTTAGTGGGGAAGGAAATGTACTCTGCACTTGCTCAAGGACGCATTGGTTCCTGTCCCTCCTTCGTATGTTTCAAGGATTAAAATATGCCAGAGGTGGGCCCAGGAGCATATAAACCCCACAAGAGAATACAAGACTCCTTGTACTCCCCTCCCAAAAAGATTTTTATTTACCTAAACAAGAAAAAGGTAATTTTAGGAGATAGTTTCATGACAAACTGCCCCTCCCCTCATGTTCACTTCAGGGCTTCCTGCTTAGTTGATAAGCAGATGCTGAAAGCAGGGTGGGAATTTGTGTCTGCTGGTGATCTGTGAATATAACAGTGGCAAGCATGTCTTATTCTGTTAGCTAACCCACATCACATGCTCTTATGTAGGCAATCTTGAGGTATGAGAAACAGCATGCTAAGCAGTTCTTAGAAACACTCTGCCTGTCAAAATATGGTTACTAGGCCCCAAAATCCACATGTTTGGGGTTTCTGTATATTGCTTCAATGTATAGTTGATGCCTGTTGCTCCCTTAACAATGCCGAAAACCGCAATGGAGCAGTACATGACTATCTTGAGGTTGCTTGTCTAGATTTGACAAAGTTTGTCTTCTCTTCCGGTTGTTAAATTGATCAGGAGACTGTTGTAAGTGGCCACTAGTCCAACTGCTTGTGGCAAAAGAGAACTGTCTCCCCACAGAGAGGCCTTTGCAAGCGGTAAGAGAGTCTGGGTTCTGTTTTCCCTTCATTCTGTGTTTGCATCATGAAAGGCTAGCAGAGATATGCCTGTCTGAGCTATTAAACGTTTTTGTTGGGCTATTTACTAGTCTGAGATAGATGGTGGGAGAAGACAGCTAGATAGCAGGAAAGGGATGGAGAGTGTGCATTTCTGGGGGCTCACTGGAAAGCACTGCAGCATCATAGTTTAATTGAAATCCGCATGGCTTGGTTTTCCGTCTTTCCCCACCTCTTTTACTTACACACTTGCTCAGATAGCCAGCATAGAGCCTTTTCTTCATTGTCTCTCTTATCTCTGACTCATGGCTGTAATTTATGGTGCATGGATCCTATTGTCAGAGCAGGAGCCACAGGAGCATTTTGTATGTGCGGACTCTGCCTAACAGCTGAGATCTCACATCACATGGAAACAATCCATAGCCATCTGTGAGGGAATTTGATAAAGCAGCATTGATTTTATTGCTCTGGGAGAAAACAAACTGGAAAACAAAACTGAAGCTTTATGCTGAGAGAATAAAGCTGGCTGTGTACTTCTGTATCTAGAAAGCCATGTAAACAAGAATATCTTTTTCTCTCCCCACATCCCACTCCCCCCAAAAGAAATTGGACCTTGACTGCTTCCTGTGTTGATCCAACACCTGCAGTGTGTTCTGAGGTCTATGTCGGGATAGGATCTGGCCTAATCTCTGTGTAAATAGGTTAAGAGCTTTAAAAGTAATCTGTTTTCTGTTGCTTCTAATATCCTTTGAAGATGTTGGTCAAAACTTCTAACAGGTTTGCCTTGCTTACACTCCTAGGAATACATTCCTGTAGAACAGCTGAGTTATCTTGTCCTCCCTCCCCCCCCCATCCTAAAATTTATTTGGGGGCACAGCAGGGTTTCCCTTTCCCAGTGAAAACATCAGTTCTATGGGGCTCTCAGGGTTCACAGAAGGTCAAGATGAGGTCCAACAGCCCCACGTGAAAGTCGACACCCTAGGGCACTTTCTAAAATCCTCCATAGCGTTCAAGGGCTCTGGGGCACAGGCATGTGGGTTCCTCAGTAGAATAGTTGGTGTGGAAAGTGTTCCCTGAAGGTTGAAAGTGTGGAAAAGCAATTTGTGGTGGATGTTTCTGCAATGAACTTTTATTTGAATCAAGTGAGTGACTTTTCTGTAACGTTGCCTTTTGGTTGTGCTGCCATTGTAGCTGCTTTATTGCAACAAATTAGGCATTCAGAAATGGCCAGCCCCTAGCCAAGTTTAAGTGACTAGGAGTGGCTGCCGAGATCTCATAACACCGGTCCTGAAAGACCTACATTGGCTCCCAGTACATTTCCAAGCACAATTCAGTGTTGGTGCTGACCTTTAAAGCCCTAAAAGAGCCTTGGCCTAGTACACCTGAAGGAGCGTCTCCACCCCCATCGTTCTGCCCGGACACTGAGGTCCAGTTCCGAGGGTCTTCTGGCGGTTCCCTCACTGCGAGAAGTGAGGCTAAAGGTAACCAGGCAGAAGGCCTTCTCGGTAGTGGCACCTGCCCTGTGGAATGCTCTCCCATCAGATGTCAAGGAAATAAACAACCACCCAACTTTTAGGAGACATCTGAAGGCAGCCCTGTTTAGAGAAGTTGTTAATGCTTGATTCTATTTTTCATAGAATCATAGAGTTGGAAGAGACCACAAGGGCCATCAAGTCCAACCCCCTGCCAAGCAGGAAACACCATCAGAGCACTCCTGACATATGGTTGTCAAGCCTCTGCTTAAAGACCTCCAAAGAAGGAGACTCCACCACACTCCTTGGCAGCAAATTCCACTGTCGAACAGCTCTTACTGTCAGGAAGTTCTTCCTAATGTTTAGGTGGAATCTTCTTTCTTGTAGTTTGGATCCATTGCTCCGTGTCCGCTTCTCTGGAGCAGCAGAAAACAACCTTTCTCCCTCCTCTATGTGACATCCTTTTATATATTTGAACATGGCTATCATATCACCCCTTAACCTCCTCTTCTCCAGGCTAAACATGCCCAGCTCCCTTAGCCGTTCCTCATAAGGCATCGTTTCCAGGCCTTTGACCATTTTGGTTGCCCTCCTCTGGACACGTTCCAGTTTGTCAGTGTCCTTCTTGAACTGTGGTGCCCAGAACTGGACACAGTACTCCAGGTGAGGTCTGACCAGAGCAGAATACAGTGGCACTATTACTTCCCTTGATCTAGATGCTATACTTCTATTGATGAGGCCCAGAATTGCATTGGCTTTAATATTCTGTTGGGAGCCGCCCAGAGTGGCTGGGGTATAAATAAATTGTTGTTGTTGTTGTTGTTGTTATTAAAGTTGCATTCTGCCCTCTCTGTTTCTCTTTTGTGTGCTGCCACTACAGTGGTGCCTCGCAAGACGAAATTAATCCGTTCCGCGAGTCTCTTCGTCTAGCGGTTTTTTCGTCTTGCGAAGCAACCCTATTAGCGGATTAGCGCTATTAGCGGTTTAGCGGCTATTAAAGGCTTAGCGGCTAGCGGCTAAAGGCTATTAGCGGCTTAGCGGATTAGAAAAAGGGGGGGGGAAGCGGGAAAATATTCTCAAGACTCGCAAGACATTTTCGTCTTGTGAAGCAAGCCCATAGGGAAATTCGTCCTGTGAAGCGCATCGAAAAACGGAAAACCCTTTCGTCTAGCGGGTTTTCCGTCTTGCGAGGCATTCGTCTTGCGGGGCACCACTGTACCTTGTGTCTCATGTGCCACCGTAGTGCCAAGATGTCTTGGACTGACCAGCAGTTCTTACACAGCACCTGAATTCTCTCCCAGTGTTTGATAATGCAGCAGTTCTCTGGTTATTGTCGGACTGAGTCATATGTTGTTGTTGGATGTGTGTGAAATCACAAGCTTATTAGATGGTTTGAGGCTCTTTTGTTTAGCTTTTCTTCCCACCTCCATCTCCATCTGAATCAGACCCTCCCGGCTCTGAGTGACTTCCTAGTGTCTGTCAGGGTCTAATAACCTTTGGGTCTGTGCAAATAAAGGCTAAAGATTCTCTATGCTTGTTGTTCATACTAGGTACTTCTTTAGAAAACAGTAAGCTTGAGAAAATCTATACAGCCCAATCCATCTCTTTAGAAGCCTATTGTGAAATAACTGCCAAGGAAGGCAATGTGGGTAGCTTGGGATTCTGAATATAATACTGTTCTCTGTCAAAGTCAAAGTGACTTAGGTTATGTATTCATTTTTGCTCTTGCAGTTTTTCCAGTGCAAATATGTACGCATGTGACCAAATCTGTAAAATGTTTGCAGTCACAAGGTAAAATAATGAAGCTGTATCTAAGTATAGGCCAGTCATCAGTTTTGACCAGTCCCTTTCACTTCAGGAATGTTGCCCGCTATTTATATTTTTGTTCCATGTACCATATATCTATTTTTCTGTATGTTCAGTCTTATGTTTTTAATGTAGTACTGTAAATAAATCTAGCCAAGATTTCATTTCCTCTTTATGTTAACACATAAAGAGTCATGTTGTATTTCCATTTCCAGCTATTTCAGCAATAAACTGCATGCTCCTGCCTACTGGAGCTGTTTATTTTAATTACATCAGGAGATCTGAACCTCAGTCTGTGACATCACATATAAGTGGGGTCATTGTAACAGTGAAAAAGTCTGTTAAAATATCAGACGTCCATATAGCATCATCTCACATAAGCAGGGCAATTTGTGTTCTGCTTTTAAAACAGAAAGGGAGAAATCCTGCACAGAGATTAAGCATATTTGCATAGGGCTAATTACTTTGCCTAATTTGTGGCCAAACTGCATGTCAGAGTTCAAAAACAAACATACACACACGGTTACTTTTATTTTTTAGGAAAAGCAGCTGGTGGGCCCTGAAAGTGCCATTAGCAGGGGCCCAATCTAGATTGGGAATATGGTGCTGGTCCAGTGACTCCCCAGGCTCTGTTCCCTTCAAAATAAAAGTAGTGTGACCCTATTCTTTTTTTTCTGGTTATGAAAAGGGCAAAAAACCATGCACCTAAAAATGGGACTTGCTGTGCATCTTTGTAATTTCCATGGAAAATTAATGGATGACCCTTGACAACGTGGGGTGCAGTGAGGTACAATAATGGCTTCACTCTTCTATCCAGACACCAAAAAGCAGGGGCTCCTGAGGCAGAGGCAGAGGCAGCAGATACCTTGATCTGCTATCCCTAATAGAAAAACCACGCTGAGTGCCTGCCTTGTCCTCTTCCTTTAATCTGTTTTGCCTGCTGCAAGAGTGGTTGATGGTTTTGGCAAATGTGCCAGATTTAGACAACAGTGTGAGTCAGTGCCAGTCCAGTAGCTATTGCAGTATACATGCCAAGCCCTGTGCTTTGGTACGTGTGTCAGAAAAGTCTTGCTGGATCAGACCAGGGATCAACTGGGTGACCCCCACGCTGGCCAGCTGTGGCTCTTTGTCTCCAGTATGTTGTTGGCTTGCCCTCCCCCCATGCCTAAGTGTGGATCGTGCCAACTTTGGCTGACAGAATCTGGCAACATCTGGATGGCCTCAGGTTCCCAGTCTCTAGTTTAGAGGGATATTTGTTGCTGCCTCTGAACATGCAGCTTTTGTTTCACTATTATTATTATTAAATAGGGCACATGACAAGACATTTATTCTATATAAGTTGCACCATTGTTGTGTTACATGGGTCCCAAGAAACATATGAAAAGCGCATTTCAATTAATATATATAAGAATCTCAAAGAAGAGAATGAAGTTAAATTATGTAGTTTTTTTCTTTTCATTTGTTGGGGGGGGCATGTGTTTTTGTAACTAATGTAACACACTAAACCATCATACATTTTAGTGTCCTAAGCTCATCTAATTTTGTTCCTAATGCAACATTTATTATCATTTCTCCAAATGAGAAACCAAAACTATCAATACAATAAAGGGCAATTAACCTAGACTCTGTTTTCTTGAGAGATTTTTTAACTGCACTTAGGGGGGAAAATTAGACAAATTCTGAGTCATGCTTTGCTTATCATGCTTCTGGTTGTTTTATTCATGTGTAGAATACCATCTTGAGAAACTTTTGCCAGATACTGAACTTTGGAAATTTAGAATGATATAGAGCATGGTAACTATATGTGAAAATGAAAAATGGGACAGTAGATTGACATGTTCATGGAATTCCCCTATTATCTTATAACAAATTACAAATGTGTTTTGGATAATGTTGGATTAAAATCCTAGTGATGGAAATAGAGCAACTGTACAGTAGAGTCTCTCTCTCTCTCTCTCTCTTTCACCCACCCACCCACCTCAAGTTCTAGGGTGGGGAGGCCATCCTTGTGCTGACCTTTGAACCCAGCAGGTATAGCCATCCAGAAGGATGAGAAGGCGTCTCTGCTGACCTGGTGACTAACTTTGATGACTCCTGACTCAGGATGGCAAGGGTGGAAAAGAAGCAGCAGCAAAGCAGCATGCTACTGTGCATTAGCCGTTTCCATGCACTCACCCACCTGGAAATATTGCATCTGAAGGCCCAGGGGAAAGGGCCTGGTCTTAGAGAGTTCTCTAGCATGCATCAGAACACAGTGACCTCTTAAGAAAGCACCCTTGTGCCTCTCCAAATGGCAAGACAGGATGGGGTTTTACAAGAGACAGCGAAGAATAGGGACTGTCTTTGGAAAAGAGAGTGAGAATACGTTCTTTTCCCTTGGTGAGTGGCTGTCAAGCCCAAGTCAGATTTAAGGCTAAAAAAGCTCAAGGAGGGAGAGCAGGAGAAGCCCAGAAGTTCTCCATCAGCAGTTGGCACCTGGGCAGCAGGCTGAGCAGGTGTGCAAGTCTCCCTGGGCACAGTCTTCACCACTATTTGCGGATGGAGTGCCCTTCTGTTTGAATTGTTGCAATCCTTTCTTTCTTTCTATCTATCTATATATAAGCATGTGCAAATGTGTGCCCTCTTTTTTCTTCTTGGCCAACTAGAATTGGCCACCCACCTATTTCTTTGTCATCTGTGTCACACCTAGCATAGTAATCTGTGATTATCTCCATTAGATACTTCTCCAGTAGAAATGGTAATACATAATTCATGCTTTGCATAATTCATTCCAGATTTGTAAAGGATTTATCCTTTTGCGTGAAACACTGTTACTTAACCTTAACTTCAAAAAGAAAGTTGTGGGCTGTTTTTTGTGTGTGAGTTTGTGTGGAACACTCTGGGTGGGCGGCTTGCTTTCACTCAGAACACAATTTCCTTGCTAGGGCTCAGCCCTAGAATAAGTTGAGGCGGTGTCTGTCAGTATTGACTGGTCATAGTAGCCAGAATTCATGCCAGTGGGCCAATGGGGAGGATTTCCAAGGGTGGTAGTTGGCAAACAGGCTTGAACCTTGCAATGTTCAGTTGCAGAAAAATGAGAATAACAGCTCTTTAAGGAATAACAATCTATCTGAGTAATAATGTTTTTGTGTCTGGAATTGACATATACTTCCCTGTTTGCTACAAAGCCACATCATCCTTCCATATGAGGTTGGGTCATTGTGAGTGGCAGCTTATTTTGGGCACAGATACAACCTGAGTCCTGCCTACTTCAGATAATTGTTTTCCTTAGAAAGGCCTCCCTCCCTCAATGAGGGTCAATTCCTTTCTTTCCTTCTCAACAAGTGGGCCCTTCAACAAAATGTTGCAGTTTCCCTCACATGTAGGGCTGTTTTGAGCCCTAGGCAAGGTTAACAACTTGCACCTGCAACACCCCCCCCCACATTGCTAAATTCAGTTTTCAAAAACAGATGTATTGTAGAAAAAAATGAAAACTACAAAACTTGAAATTGCTAAATTTATTTTAAATTGCAAGAATATATAATACAACAACCTTTAATTATCTTTCTGAAATGCAAAAGAAGATCCAAATCTCACTTTCCATTCCTTTTCCTTTGTAAATTTCCCAACCAATTATTTCAAGTCGAGCCCTGATGCTAGGGCATGTTCAGTGGATATAGCTGCCAAACCAGCAACTAGTTTCTTCTGCAACATTGTTGAGCGTATGTAAGTTTTTATAAGTTTGAGCTTTGAGAAATTGCGTTCGCCACTTGCCACTGACAAGGGAAGAAGTGTGAGAATGATCCTTAGAGCAACAGAAACATTAGGCGCATTATCCAGGAGTTTTTATTGTAGTATGAAGAGAAGTTCTCCTTGTAGCTGCATAGACTTTGGAAGTCTTTGAACTATTGTTATAAGTTCACAGCACAGATCTTCAGCATCAATATTTTTGCAGTAGTGGTTTTTCCAAATTCTCACAGGCATTAAGTACATCTTCAGTAGATTTTTTTTGTTGATACTGTATATATCATACAGGTAGCCAAATAGGGAATTATAATGTTATAACTTTTGGAATCTCTCTTCAACATAACCACTAATCTACTCTATGGACTATCTATTTCAATTATACATAAACAACAATTCTAATGTATGAATTACTCAAAACTGATAAAAGTAAAAGATTATCAGAAATTTATACGATATAACCAAAACTAATCTGTATAAAACACCCTGTCCCTCAGTGGAGAGTACTTCTCCTCTCTGAGTTTTGTACCCTCAGCAGCTGCCTAGTTGGCCCTGCTGAGCCTGTGGCTGAGGATGTAGGTAACAAAAAAGTTAGCTCCAAAGGCAGGAATCCCTAATTCCAAGTGTTTTTCATCTGAAATATTTTAATAGTTCAATAGTTCAGTTTGCAGCCAAGCCAATGGATTTGGCTGAGGGGAGGCGGGAGGAGGCAAACTAAGTCATCCTACTTCTGGTTGCATTTAACAGTGGATTATGAGCATAGCCCCCCTGCCACTTGCAGTAGAGGTATAATGATCAGCTACATTGCAGGCTTGTTGTGCATTATTTTCTCAGACTGACCTGCAATCTGAGGATAAAAACAATGGATAGCTGTAGCCCATCTCTCAACCTGTGATGGGGTCCAGTATCTCTGGACAACACTGGAAGCTTGTTTTTTGGAGCCTGACCAGTGTATGAGCTACACAGCAGGGCTTTCATAAGACACTCTTTCCTAACCTGCAGTTTGGGGGATAATGGACTGTATTAGCTGTGAAAATTTGCATTGGCACTTACATTTTTAAACTTCTCCTGCTAAAGAAGAACTGAATTAGAGTAGGAGCTCTTGTCTTTGCTGCTGCCTTTTGGGCTTTTGGAGGATGGATTTGCTGTTGCCCAATTGTGCCTTTATTAAAATACAGGATTTCTTGAATATTTTCTGTTCCAGCGGACATATAAAAATTGCTTTACACTGTGAATCAGGAAGTGACCTTTCCTGACATTGGTGCTTTCTTCATAATGTGTCTCTGCCCCCCTATTTCAGTTGGCACCCCCCATCTGAGCCACTGAACATTCTGTACTTCTAAGTTACTTATGGGGCAGTTCCACCCCCCCCAGGTTTTTTCTGCAGTTTGTGGTATTCTGCACACCTCCTGCTCATCCCTTTGTCTGCTGATGCCTCTCTCATGTATGAATGGTGTCCTTTGAGTTATGTAAGTGTGAGCCTGGTATGCTTTTGGTATATGGAATTGATGTGGGAACTCTTCAATGTAGTCTGTTCCTATGTCAAACTTGTAATGGCTGAATTCAGAAAACATGTGGGACAAATGGATGGTGATATTTAAATCTCTATTATTACTGTAATGAGGAATAAAAAAATAAAATGTTAAAGCTGGCAGCTCTTTCTATCAATGTGTAGCTACAGTTTTGTAAGCAAAAGCTACCTTGCACTTTCTTCAACATCCACAGTCAGACTTTGGTAACATGCGCATTTATGTAAATGTAATAGGCTTTAATTGATGAAAAAGCAGGTCACTAAAATTCTCTATTTGATTGTTGGACCTATTAATTTGTGCGTCAAATATATTTTTAATAACCGTTGAAAAACAACACTACTGTTGCATTTACTGAAACAGTGTTTGGATTTCTGAAACTGTACAAGGCGAGGGAGGGAGGGGTGATCTAGGTTAATTGGTGGCTGGCAGCCTGGAAAGAGGACTGTCTTGTCTGCTTTGTTTCTTAGTCTTGCAGCTTGCTGAAAAAGAAAAAGGAATGTGAGCAGGAAGTTAATAAAGGTTTCTGCTTGCTTGTCAGTTCCCCTGGTGGCAGAACTGTGGCATAAAGGCATCCTATGCCTTGTTCCAGAGTTCTGACAGGAGGACATGATTTTAACTCACTCCCCTTGCTCAGCAGACTGGATGATGTCACCACAGGTCTTGGCTGCACATTGAGGGGTTGCCCTTGCCATGTGCATCCTGCTGTTGCTCAGAGCTCTAACTGGCTGTATCTTAGTATCGGTTCTTTCTCTGTTGTATTTTTCCTCGATAGCATCAGCCAGTAGTGTCAGGCTCTGCATTCTTGTCTTTGATTTAGAGCGTAGCTTAGAAATATGCACAGTTAAGTCTCTCTCTCTCTCCCTCTCTCTCTCTCTCTCTCATATCCTCTGGCACCTATAGAAAAGGACCCTTCCGACCATAAGATTTGAGTGATATCCAATGTTAGTCATGCAGTATGACTTAGTTGGATATCACACCCCTTGCTTTCAGTATGATAAGCCTTTAGGACACTACCTTCTGATCCCCACCCCCTACATAATCTGCCACTTAGAGGAAGCAAACCTTGCATGCTGAGCTTAACAACAACAACATACCTCTTTAAATTCCTTATGGATGAATATTCTGCTGCCATTCACTTGGAAGTGTAGCTCTTATTTTTCAGATTGGTGTGCGTGTGTTTAACTACTGTCAGTTGTATACAGGAAGTCACAGAGGGGTGAGCAATCTGTTCTTAGTATTTAACTCCAATTTTATTAGTAAGGAGAACTTGTGGTTTGCTGCTTCTGCTTGTGTTAATTCCCCTTAAGGAAAACAAGAGCTAAAATTTGGGGTGAACTATTCAGAAGGCCAACACATCTCAGTGAGACGTACCCTATAGCTCTTCATATGTTGTTTTCGGAGTTTACAATTGTTTAAATAGCGAACAGGCTTTTTTAAAAAAATATGAAACTACCTTACACAGCCAGACCTTTGATCTGCCCCATTGCCTGTGGTAGTCCAAAGTCTCAGTCAGAGCCTGCCCCCCCTTCCATAATATCCTTTAACTAAGGATGCCAGGGGTTCTAAGCATGCGCTCTGCTTCTGTTTTGTTGTGCTGCTTTAATGAAGGCATTCATGACAGTGCCATTTTTTGTGTGGAGACTCAGATCTCTTCCTGGCAGTAGAATGTGTTTTCTCTTCTATTAATGCAAGATGCCAGAGGTCCAAAGAAAAGCCCACATATAACTTTGGCTGCAGTTCAGTACTTTTTTTTAAATGCAGTCAATTCTGTGGTAGAACTCCCTGGGCTGCATTTGGAGGAACTCCAGAATTTAAATAATCATTATTTAGATCTCACTTCTATTATTAGTGATGGAAAATTGCTGAGTGGGGCTTCCAGGGATACCTTGTTTCAGAATTAGTAAGCCTCCATTGGGCTGCTGCCAAACCCCAGCAGGCAGGCCCGCTTTAGAGGAATTGATTTAAGGGGACTGCAGAGCATTTGCAAATCCAGTTGAAGGGCATGACAGCTTTGGGTGCTCAACAGCTCTGAAGATCAATAATGGAGCCAGCAACTGAAATGTGCAAGATCGGTCATAAACATGTTCTTCTAGATGCTTTGTAAGAATATGTTTCAACACAGCAGCAGTATTCAGATGGAATATGAAACCATGGGTTAGTACTGTTAAGAACTACGCTAGCAGTCCCTGGGCTCCCCTGCTCCCCATTCACCAGTTCCCCTCCAGCAATAGCCGTGAAGATGGGATGGAAAACACCTGCTTCCGTTACGATGTGCTGTGGTTTAGTGTGGCATCTGAACTCTGAATTGTGGTTAATCTAAACTATGGTTTGTAGAAATGAGCCACCTTCATTAGCTGCAGTTGGAAGTTGGCTTCCTTTCACTACCCATACTTAAGATTAACCACTTTTGTGGTGTCTTAAGGTTATGTGAAGCACAGATTCATAGAGCTGGTAAACAATGGTGTGAGTTTTCCAGAAAAAAATCATTGACCTAAATTGACCACCTTGATATATCCTATAAAAGTGCAGTTTATAAATATTTCCAGTGAATTTTTTTCTGGGGATACTCAAAGGATATGCAGGACTGGCACCTCCCCCCCCCGAAGAAAAGCACTGAGTATTTCAATAAATAAACACATACAGTACATAAATAATAAAGTTGGTGAAGTGAACCATGTTAATTTTATGTGCTGTGTAAATATCTTGAAATGTTTTCCCAATAGTGAAAAGTTTTTGAACTGTAATGCTTAATTGGGGGCTGAATCAGTAAAATACACTTCATGTAGCTTAAATGTCACAAAATATTGAATCCAATTCAAAGCTTTGCCTGGAATTTTTTTTGCTGAAATACTTTTATCCTCTTGAAAATTTCAAACAGTGTAAGCAATGTCTTAAATGTCTTAAGATATTGAAGGCATTTAACACACTAATTTCATATTTCCTCAGTATTTATGCTTTTGCACCTATTATATATACAGCCAAAATGCATCTTAAAAACTTGACTGGTATGCCCAATCTGTGGGCAAGAGGGTATCTGGGTCACTCTGGTTCTTTTCTGTTGCCACTTACCTTTTGCAACAGGGTTCTGCTGGCCTTTGAGCAATGAATGTCTAGTGCCACCATCCTCGCCTCTTTAACTAGCAAGTATTCCCAAGGCAGGGACGCGGGTGGCGCTGTGGGTAAAACCTCAGTGCCTAGGACTTGCTGATCGTAAGGTCGGCGGTTCGAATCCCTGCGGCGGGGTGAGCTCCCGTCTTTCAGTCCCAGCTCCTGCCCACCTAGCAGTTCGAAAGCACCCCTAAGTGCAAGTAGATAAATAGGTACCGCTTTATAGCGGGAAGGTAAACGGCGTTTCCGTGTGCTGCGCTGGTGCTGGCTCGCCAGCTGCAGCTTCGTCACGCTGGCCACGTGACCCGGAAGTGTCTTCGGACGGCGCTGGCTCCCGGCCTCTTAAATGAGATGAGCGTGTAACCCTAGAGTCGGACACAACTGGCCCGTATGGGCAGGGGTACCTTTACCTTTACCTTTATTCCCAAGGCGCTTGCTGTGTCAGGGCATGGCATGGCAGAGATAATAATGGTTTTCGTGATTTGACAGAGAAAAGTGATCTAGAGTGGCTGCAATTTTGTCAAGGTGATTGTTTCAGCTCTGTACGTATCCATAACGCTTTATGCTGCAATGCTTTGTCTACCAGCTGGCTTTTAGATGCTTTCATCTTCCTAAACCCTGTTTGCTGGTCTGCTTCTGAGCCACCATCGGAGATGGTTCCCTTTCCCCTTTCAATGCGCATGCAGTTTGTTAAAACAGGAAGTGAGTATTAAAAGACATTGCCAAGAAAAGTCTAAAATTAATTTTCCCAATTAGAAACTAGACATTTTCGTGATCAGAACAACAGAAACTCAACCATCTTGGTATGACATATCCTCTTTTTGTGCAAAAGTATCACTGACAGTGACCACTATGGCAAGGGTGTGTGTGTTCTGTGTCGCGCTTTCTGCTCCGCCACACTTTTGCCAGAGGGGACCATTGCCAATGGAATCCAAGCAGGAGCCCTAACACGTTCTCTGCATCTGACAAAAATTAACTTGGTATTTTGAAAACATGGTGTTTACAAAGCAAAACAACAGCCCCTTTTGCTCAGGAGTTCCCAGTCTAGATTTTAGATTGGGAAGGGCATAAGTCAAGGAAGGAGAGAAGTGGCAGTTGTACATACAGCTAATCCATTTTTTGTTGTTCTGGAATAAGATTCTGTGTGATCAAGAAGTATCTGGGCAATGAGTTACTACGACTTTATTCAATTGTATTAATTGTTTTGATGAGTTTGTTGCTGCTGTTTGCTTTGTATGCTTTTTAAAAATACTATTATGATTACTCTGAGCCACTCTGAGCTCGACATTTGTCACTCGAAAAGCAGAATGCAAACATTAAATTAACTCAACTTGCATAGGGTTAGTTTCAGTTGAAGATCAGTGTAAATCCTTTTGATTTTACTGTTGGCCTATTATGAGGTAGAAGGTGAAGCCTATTTCTGGTGTGTCTGTAACTGCTTGCTCTGCAAGGTCTGTGAATATGTTTTTAGATTACTCCTATCCTCTCTTGTTCATCTAACAATTAGGTAAAAGTAAAGGGACCCCTGACCATTAGGTCAAGTCGTGGCCGACTCTGGGGTTGCGGCGTTCATCTTTCTTTACTGGCTGAGGGAGCCGGTGTACAGCTTCTGGGTCATGTGGCCAGCATGACTAAGCCGCTTCTGGCAAATGGCGCACGGAAACGCTGTTTACCTTCCTGCCGGAACGGTACCTATTTATCTACTTGCACTTTTGACATGCTTTCGAACTGCTAGGTGGGCAGGAGCAGGGACAGAGCAACGGGAGCTCACCCCGTCGCAGGGATTGGAACCGCCAACCTTCTGATCAGCAAGTCCTAGGCTCTGTGGTTTAACCCACAGCGCTACCCGCGTCCCAATGTCATCTAACTATTAGATTCTAGCAATTCGCTTTGACCGTTGAGCCTCTTGATAATCTAGTGAGATTTGTGTAAAGTGCTCATTTGAGAATGGAGCAGATGCTGGAAGGCGTTGAAATAATGGGGATTTTCTCTCTCTCTCTCTCTCTCTCTCTCTCTCTCACACACACACACACACACACACACACAGCCCTGGGAGTCCTCATAAGGAAGCTGTGCCTGGAGGAAGAACTGTGAGGGAAGAGACTTCATCAGGCAAGGCCTCCTTCCACCTGCCTTGCTCCACCCTCCAGTCTCTGCTTCTCAATTTGTATTGTATTATTTTATGCACTGTGGCTTGCCGTTGTTTTATTGATTGTAGTTTAGAAATTATTTAGAGTGGGTTTCTGTTTTAATTTTAATATGCTGATATTTAATATTATATATTAAAATAATATTAAATATTATTTTATACTATTCTAACGATTGTTGAATGTTATTTTATTTTATGTAGGTTGCTTATTTTAAAGTTATGTTTTATTATCACATTTTTGTATTGCATTAGATTGTTATAAGGTGTACATTTTTTGTTTCTTCAGCTTCTATTCTTGGGTATTGTAAGATAGAAAAACGGTATACAAATTAAAAGTGATGATGATGATGAGCAGGCCGTGGCAATTAAAGAGAACTGGAAACAGTTTGAAGAAGGTACAGAGTTCTGATCACTGCACCTCAAAACAGATAGTGTAGACCTATGACTATGATTCTATGACACAGAGGGTTTTCTTCTTCAGAACACTGGAATTCATGGTCATCTGATTAACCAGCTTGGCAGGAAGTTCAGGACAGACAAAAGGAATAGCCTCAGTTTATGAACTTCTATGCCTCAAACAGCGGTTCTCAACCTGTGGGTCCCCAGATGTTGTTGGACTACAACTCCCATCATCCCTGAGCTCTGGCCTTGCTAGCTAGGGGTGATGGGAGTTGTAGTTCAACAACATCTGGAGAACCACAGGTTGAGAAAGACTGCTTAGAAGATGTCTAGGTTTGATGGCTTTAAAGGGAAACTAGACAAATTCATTAGACAAAAGTCTGTCATTGGCTATTAGCCGTGTTTGATGGTGGCTGTATGCAGCTTCCAGGTTTCAGAGATGATATGCCACTCCATTTCACTTGCCAGGGGGAAGAGCAACAGGCCCTCCTTCTGCCCCTCCCAGAGGCACTTGGTGGGTCACTGTGGAAAAGGGGGATCTTGAGCTAGAGGGAGCTTTGTTCCAGCCCAGCAGGGCTCTTTTTATATTTTAATATTCTTCTCACCATTTTTATTGTATGTATTTAAGTGGCTATCATGCCCCATCTGGCAAACAGCTGTCTAAAACAAAAACATGTGAGATATAACTGGAGAAAAATAGTTTTGGAGGGTTGACGTGACCTCTGCTGGAAGTGTGTAGAATTTTAGATTATGGAAGAAGGGATTACTGCCACCTTCCCCACTTTCAGTTCTGGCCTAGTTTTCCCTTGTGTCTGGGTTGTATTGCCTCAGGCCAAGGTAGTGTAGAATGGGTTTTAAAGTCATTTTTGTAAAATAATTATGATCAAACTAGATATTGTCCTAACTGGAATGACAATCTTTCTCCCCACCCCAGTCAAGCAGTTTAGGATCCAAACTACAGCTTGTAGATCCAGTGGTTCCCCCCCGCCCTGCTTGATTTATTTATTTATTTAAAATGTTTACATCCAAACCCCTCATGACTATATTAAAAGCCAAAACCACAATATAAAACCTAAAGCAAAACAAACAAGACCTTATATTTTTATCATGGATATACAGTCCAAATGGCAGCAGGAACAGATTAAGTGCATAGACCTCCCTCCTCCTGCCCAAAGGTCTGGCTATTCAGATGATGATATTGGTGAAAAGCACTAGCTTCAGCTAGTGAGACAAATCAGAACTGGCCATGATAATTCCTGTGGATTCTCTATAGGTGCGCTAAGAGGGAGAAGCAGTTTCTGGTGAATGGAAATTATTTCCCCATCCTTGAACAAGGCACTCTCCTCTTCCTCGTCAGCCAAGGGACGGTTGGGAGTGGACCCCCTTGTGAAGAAGAAATCGGAGCCCACTATATGCCCCCAGCAGTTCCTGTGAAGGCCTGGCCTGCCCTGCCACACACCTGATGTCATATATGATGTTGTGTATGAAGTCAGGTGTATGGCAGGTGGGTGTGACTTCCCCCAACAACCTCTTGGGCCAAGGTTTGATCAAGAACCAGAGGTGCCTTGCCCTTGCAGTCGCCTTTTAAAGATGCTTTGGAAATTGCTGCTGTTGCAAAATGTCTCTGAGTGGAGCTGGAGATCAAATAATATTCAGTAGCTCATCTGATGCTACCTCAAACTGGTTGGCTGTCCTTTTCCAGGCTCAGTTTAAAGTGGTTTCAAAGTTATGCTAACCTTTTAAAATCCCTGAATGATCCATTCAGCTAGGACAACCCCTGAGCCCTCTTTCCACACATGAAGCTGACTGATTTCTAAGCTTAGTTTCAGAGGCCCTGCTCTTTGGCACCCTCAGAGAGTCCACAGGCAGCCACAAAGCCTTTGGGCCGTGGCCCCAGCATTCTGCAATTCCTTCCCCGAGAAGATGTGTTGGACTCCTGCTCTTCTTGTTTTCAGCTGAGCTTTAAAAACTCTCCCAATTAAGGCAAGCTTTTAATCTTTAGCCATTTTGTGTTGGTCTGCTGCTGCATTTTATTGCTTTTTCCTTTGTAATTGCATGTACTAAATTTAGTGATTATTTTAACATTATTTGGGTCTTGTAAGATGCTGTGGATATAATTGTTTATAGAAAAGTGGGATACGAATTGTATAAATAAAATAGGCAAGGGCAATGATTTTCCTTTTTCATTCATCAGATGGTTTCTAAGCTGTTTTTAAATCTCCCTGCAGTGCAGGATCTGCCTTAGGCATCCTTTTAAACGATTCTCTTTGTATCTCAGCATTTTAATCTTATAACCAAAGATTTTGAGCAAACCTGTAATTAAGAGTACAAAGGCTTCTGGTTGAGAAAGAGATTCAGCATGCTGGATGCCCTTTAATTGGAAATATTCTTAATTGCTTTGAGATGGAAAGCAAGGAAATAAGAGGTGTACTGGTATACTAAGCTAAGCAAGATTTAGCTGAGCAACTTCTCTGGACCAGGAATCAAGGTTAAGCTCTCTCTTTCTGCTCACTAACCACAGGCTATTGCCAAGATCTGCTTATGGTTAGTGAGAAGAGAGAGCTTGACCCAGAGCCCTAGATATGGGGGAGGAGGGGCTAGCTAGGATTTTTGCCCCAGGTGAAGCCTCCAGAGGCGCATCATTGAGGGTCCCAGCCTGTGTGTGTGTACGCAAATGCACGTGGGTGTGCCAAACTGGGTCTTTCACCCATGGGAAATAGAGCCTAGTTTTGCCCCCGGCTTAACCACATTGGACAACATCACTGAACCAAACCTTGGCTTCTCTCAGTGCATTGCAGCAGTGAAAGCTACCAGGGAGGGGCACTGTGTCTGGGAGCTCACACAGTCTCATTAGGCCAAGTTTTGGCTTAGTCCGCCTTGCAAACCAGACCAGTACGGTATTTTAGATTACATTGGGAACAAAGAAATAGTTCAACTTTACTTTAGCTTGCTTATGGAGCAGATTCAATGGATTGTGGACATTTTAAGGCTGGCATTTTAAAGAATGTTGTATAGCATTTAATTGGTGGGTGAAATTAAACTGTTTCCAGGAAGTTGTAGAAAGTAAAAGAAAGATGCCTAGATGAGTGACTTCCTATCTTTCCCCTTTTTCTTTCACACTTACCTTAGATGGGAGGTTGAAAGGAGAAAAGTTCTAAATGTATTTGGGGTGAGAGCAGCTCCTGAAACTTACTCCCCCCCATGGGTGCCAACTTGAATAAAATATGGGGGGCAGGTAAGCCCCACCCTGCAGTATCAATCCCAAGATGGAGTGCATACACACCATCTGAATGGTAATGTCCCTCAACTTTGAGGGACCCAGCCCCCTCAAATATTTTATTGGGGAGCTAAAGAGACCTTGGTCCCTAAGAGTTGGCTCCTATTCATGCCCTCCCCTTAGATTATAAGGGGATTATAAATGAACCTTTATCTGCTGAAGAACCTCTGCATGTTGCAAAGGATTCTGGGCAGTGCTCTAGGTTGCAGGCAACTCATGCTGGGGCTTCATTGCTGCAGTGTATAAACAGAGTGTAAACATGGCCATCGCTCCTGTTCTGCACTGCAGAAGCAGATCGGTGGTAGTGGTTTACCTGTTGCTGCACCACTACTGACCTTCAGGTAAAGCAACCACGGCTAATACTGCGAAGGCTTTCTCAAAACCACAAGTTGAGACACAGTTCTATAGACTTGAAGTGGACACCAACTGCAATGGCCAAAAGCAAGTTTGAAGGTGTACAACGAGGCTGGGGCAGCCGATATTGTTGCGCAGCAGCTCCCATCGTTGGTCACCATTGGTCATGGTGGTGGAAGCTGATGGGAGATGCAGTCCTCCAACCACTAGAGGGCAACAGATGTCCCTCCTGCTGTAGAATTAGCACAGCAGACATGTCTTAGACCAGATTCCCCAAAGCTAAGATGCCTAAAGCTAGTGTGTTACCATGGTGTTTTGCATATGGTTGCCTCGTTTGCCTGATGAAAGAGTCTGCACCTCTATTTCAGGAGTGCCTGTGCTGCTTAAAACGCTGACTAGGTTTCTTGGCCCGTTCTTGAAATGTGAATTCTGTGCTGTGGATTTCTTGCACATCTCTCACTATGCCCTAAGGCTGCCCTGGATTTTCTTATTTTAAGCCTTGTCAGTTAGTATCTTTAGACACTAAGGGAAATGCTGGAGGGGAGTTTCCTCAGCATCTCTCTTCACAGAGGACAAAGGCAAAAGAGGGTTCTGGGAGCCAGGTGCCTGTGGTCTATACTGGAGGGTGGCTCAGACTTGGGCAGGAGCAGGCCTGGGTTCAAATATCTGCTCAGCCGAGAAGGAGACTTGAGTGATGTTTGTTCTCTCTCTCCCCCCGCCAACCCAGTTGGGGAGAGGGTTCACCCTATATGCACAGCCCATAATTCCTTGGAGAAAGGGCAGGATACAGTTGTGATTACTTGTAACCTGATCCACCTGCCTATCATGTTAGAAATCTGAACCACTTGCAGTTCCCATCACTCCCTTTGAAAAAGGAGGTGGAGCTGGAAAACATGCACAAAGGGGACTGAAGCACATTCTGTCTTGAAGAAAGAGTAGAACAACTAGGGCTTTTAGTTTAGGAAAAAAGGAGCATAGGAGGACAAGATAGAGGCGTATAAAATGATGTGTGGTGTGGAGAAAGTAGATAGAAGTTTCTCTCCCTCTCTCAGAAAACCAGGGTGATCCAGTGAAATTGGCTGGCAAGAAATAAATTTCATTGCAGCTGCATGTTTGGTATATAAAGTGTATATATATTTTGTATATATATACAAATGTGTTATCTTTGACAGTAAAGGGTTAACTCTCGTCCGTGTGCATTCCTTGTCTGGGGTGCGCCCTTGGCACTCCAGGTATGATCAGGGCCAGGCAGGTCCAACTGCAAGTAGCCTGAGATCTACCATCCAATATCAGAAACTGTCAGTGATCTACCACTCTCTCCCATTGTCATTCTTCAACTTCAATTTATTATATTTGGCTGAGCTTATGATAAAAATAATAACAAATGATTGTTGCTTCCATAAAACCTGTAAAGTTCATCATAAATCAATATATTTTTAAAAAATAAATACTTTGTATACTTGTAATAACATAAGGAAATAGCATTGAGGACAGGGTCCTACACAATCAGAACATGATGCATGGATTGTTGTTCACAAAAGCTCATGCCATAAAAAATGTGTTAAGTCTTTAAAGTACCCCAGGACTCTTGCTGTTTTTCAAATGAGTCAGGGACGCATGTCAACCACAGTGGTTTCCTCCATAGTTCGAAACAGAAACTGGGTAAACTCAACTGCCGAGTTGACAGCCTTCGAGCACCACCTTAAGAACTGGATGAAACCTGTAGAAGCCCTTTCCCCTGGATCCAACCCACCCCTTCCTTTCGAGTTAACCTAAACCAGCCCTTTCTCTCTCTGAGGAGCCAGCGCACAGGGCTGCACACCCACACCCCGCCCTGCGTGGGCAGGATGGCAGCAGCCAGGAAGGATCCCCTCTCCCTTGTGTGTGGTTACTTGGGAGTAAGCCTCACCGCGCTCAGTGAGAGAGCTCCTCGGTTTACAGCGGGAAGGGGGGGGCAAGGCAGTCCTCTCCTGAAGGGCGTACGCCTCCGTCCGCTTGCTTCTTCTCCTTCAGAGATAAAGAGGGAGAGAGAGAAGCCCGGTGTGCTGGCTCCTCAGAGAAAGAGAGATCAATCGACAGAAATTGACGAGAAGCAATCACATGATCTACAAGTCGATCCCAATCGACCTGTTGGACAGTGCTGGTCTAGGCAATGCAGGGCTGGCCTGGCCTGTGTAGCATGAACCATGAATGTTTTCTGCCCTCCGTGTGTGTTTCCATAGGGGCATTTAAAAACACAAGAACTAATGTTGTTGCTTCTAACCCATGGTAAGTTGCCCAGTTTTTACTTCCTGTAAATAAATGCTACAATTACAACAACGAGGTCATTGCTAACTTTGTGGAGCAAACACAGGGATATTGGTCTAAGGTTACCAGCTTTTTTTCAATGAATTCGGGGACACCTTTCAACTTCAGTAGGAATGATAGGATTTTGTCAGGGGATTGATTTGTAAATCCGGGGACTGTCCCCGGGAAAGGAGGACGTCTGCCAACCTTATATTGGTCTGTGCCGCAGAGCAAGCAACCTACTTGTAGTAAGTACCTGTCGGAAGCATGGAGCTGTCCCCAGTCAAGATTCTGAGAGCGGTTATTGCTTGTTCCTAAATGTAGTTCTTTCCAAGAACATACATATAGTATGTGAGTTCACATGTCTGTGTATATAGACACAATAGCAGATCTAGGTATGTGTGTGTGTGTATGATAAATGTATACATGGCTTTGGTTTTAATTCTTTGTTTGGCATTTTGCTGTTCTTATTCCTGCTGAGCATGTATCTGAGCAAGGCACTCAGAGAAGCATAGATGACTTCAGCCCATGTGTAGCGGTCAAAAATTTAGAGTTGGATTCCTCCTCTGCAGCAGTTGGATTCACAGTCTTTGACTCCATTGTCCCACTTTTCTGCCTGGCAGCATCTTCGTTGTATGAGTAACGAGTTTGGCGTGAGGTGTAGGAGTGTGTTTGCCAGTGACTCATACACTGCAGACGGGCAAAAATTGGGTTGGCATGTGAAGCAGTGAAGAAATAGAGCAGGTCAGTCCATTTAAAGGGCATTGGGATCTGGCAGCCGAGTGAAAACATGCGGTGTGGGAGCCTCTTCCGAACTGAAAGACAGCCACAGGCCTATTTGTGTTCTTAAGGGCTGCTGTTTAATGAGATAATGAGGCATTTCTTGAATTACTGTTCTCCTACGAATGCACGTGTGCATTTTAAACTCACATTTACAAATTTGTCTCAGATTTATTTAATGTGTTACTTTGAGCAGCATCTTTGGGCTGGGTAGAATATCCTGGTTTGATTTTCAGGCTAGAAAGGGTGCTCTCTCTGACCTGGGGGAGAAGGAGGGAGGAGGGTAAAGCAACTCTTCCCCATAACATTTAATTATGAGAATATTCAACTTTTCCCCAAAATGTTTGCTGCTGCTGTTTTCCTGGGGTTGCTTCATTGACACTCCCACTTCTTCTTGCTGGTTTTCTTTCTTTCTGGATCACTAACAGATACACTTGGCCAACTGGAGATCATGTAGCAAATGGTGTCTACATAGCCCATGATGATGTTACTGTGGCAAAGGAATTTGGAGAAAAAGAGACAACGTGGAATCACAGAGCCATAGAATTGTAGCGTTGGAAGGGACCCCGATGGTCATTTAGTCCAGCCCCCTGCACTGCAGGAATCTCAAGGTGACAGGTGGCCATCCAGCCTCTGATTGGAAACCTCCAGTGGAGAGTCCACAACCTTCTGAGGCAGCCTGTTCCCCTGTTAAACATTAGTAGGGCAATGCCACTTGTTTGTGATATGTCCTAAGATTAGTGAGTTCTTTCAGCTCAGCCTGTGTGTCAATAAGAGGATCAAGAATAAACTCGGTAGTAGTGGATTGCTTAATCTAATATTTTCATTATAATCTTTTATGCTTTTTTCCTGTAAATGCTAAAGGGTTTAGCAATAAGTTTATTCCAAACCCTTGAGCCTACAAACACTTTTGATGTGCGCAGGGAATCTGGGGCTGGGTGTGTCTTAATAATAATAATAATAATAATAAGGTGTTTCTTAATAAGCTGAATAAGGACAATACCAGAGTGCTGCATGCATATAGCTTCTGGTAAGGGTGGGTTTCACCTAGTGCTGTGCCAATGTTTTCTCGTTGGAGTTCTCACCCCCCCCCCAAAAAAACCCCGTTTGTTTGTGAGTAACTAACTGTTTGGGAGGAAAGGAAAGTCAGGTGGGAGGGAAACAGAATGGAATGGCTAAAACACTGAACAGGCTAGACCAGGGATAGGCAACCTAAGGCCCAGGGGCTGGATGCGGCCCAATCCCCTTCTCAGTCTGGCCCGCGGACAGTCCGGGAATCAGTGTGCTTTTACATGAGTAGAATGTGTCCTTTTATTTAAAATGGATCTCTGGGTTACTTGTGGGGCATAGGAATTCGTTCATTCCCCCCCCCCCCCAATATAGTCCAGCCCACCACGTGGTCTGAGGGACAGTGGACTGGCCCATGGCTGGAAAAGTTTGCTGACCCCTGGGCGAGACCCTCTGGTCTCAGCGTCTCCAGGGGAAGGAGGAAGTTCTCAATGCAGGTAGCTAAAATGGAGAGAACAAGCTATTTTTACCTCACAAGAATATTTGCTATTGACACGCTCCACCCTCAAGGTGCTGTGTGGTTTGTGTGTCCCAATCACACCCTGCCATGCTCCGTCTTCTAACTAGGTATCCTCCTCTAGCTTCCAAGCTCCTCCTCCTAAATCTTAGAACTGTTTTACAGTGCCCGACTCATTCCTTTTCAAGCACCATTGAAGTAAATGGGGAAGAAGCAAGTCTGAAGCCCTGTCCCTTTGAAAGGAAACCTCATGGAATGAACTTGTAGTGGGATACTTGCAAGTAAGCGTGCCTAGGGCTGGCATGCACCTTTCCCATATAAACAGTTGCTGGACTGATACAGCTCTTACCTGTGGCTTCTAGAAGCTATCAGCATGTGACTGGCCAGCTAAACCAGGTGAGCCTTGGTAGATTTCCCCTGCGTGCAAAGACAGGCTCCAGCGGATTTAGTGGACATGACCAGTAATGAGTCCAGTGGTCAAGAAGGCGGTTACTGAACATGCTGTAGAGCGCAGTGAGGGGCAGGTGAGGCTCATCTACCTGGGAAGGTAGCCCATCTAGGAGAAGGAAAACTTTGGTCCTAAACCTCCAATGCCTTGAGGGATATCTTTGTAAACCTTACACAAATTCAGAGTGTAGTACCTAAGATGGTTGGATGGTGTCTTGTACAGTTTCCTCCGGCAACTCTGCAGCCAAGCTGGTGCCTAGCATATTGCTCTGCTTTCCTTTGGACCACATGAGTGAAGCCGAGAGGGGGATATTGGTGGCTGGGCAGCCCAGGACCCCCAGACACATGGCCCAGGCACCATGTGCACCATGGATGTTGCTAATGTAGCAGTTTGCTCTCACCCGTAGAGGCACACTCCATTGTCTCATGAGGCAGACGGATGCCAACATCATGAAGGGCTTGGTACATAGTGCCCATGTGCATAGTCTTGCAGATTCTGTACAATGAATGTTCATAGCGTAGAGCAGGCAGGGAAGAGAATTCCACAATTTGTAAATGTTCAGGGGAATATGTGTGTTCAGATTGGTGTGAGAAAATGAATACCACAATTACACAAGAGTATCTCTGTTTTCAAGTGTGAAATTTTGGAGGATTTTATATGAGATGAGTGGCGTTTAACTGCCTTGCCTAACCTACATATCTGTTGGTCTGCTCTCTTACGCTACAGTTCACTTAACTGGTCTATTACATCCTTGAAGCTAATGTGAATGTACAAATAATTGCTTGCCATGGTTCATGGAGTATCACAGCAATGCCCTGAAGAGGTTAAACTGGGAGTTCAACAGAGATACTAAAGCCCAAGTAAAAATTGCTGCTGAGTTCTTCCGTGCCTGCATCTGCCCATTTTTAACACATCTCCTGCCTCCTTTATACTGGACAATCTGCATAAATAAAGCTTCTATGCTGAAGCATCTCTCTCTGAAACATTCTTTTAAGGGAGGAGAGTCCACCCCCTTCCGAGGAAAACATAGAAACTGGCCACAGAAGCTCTATGGCTGTATTAAACTTGTTTTATATACACTGGCTCAGGATGCTTGACATGGGTAAGAAACTACTAATTAGGTATTAGTTAAGTAGAATAGTATTAATAAAGTACACACAGGCTGCAAACTTCAAAGCCTCTGCAACCACTGGCCACAACAACTCTGTCTTCAGTTGGCGCAAGCCATTCATAATCCACTGGCTCAAACACCAAGATGTTATAGAAGGTTTATGGGCCTTTCCAGCCGTTAGTATCCAAGACATAGGGCCCTGTGGATCTGCATGCTACAGGTGGAAAGGAGTTTGGCCAGCACAGATTGTACTGGGTCAGCTGTTTGGACATTGTGTTTGTATAAGATTGATACGTGAATAGCACATTGTGAGTGTAGAGAGAATAAATTAATGGAAATGAACGCAAAAGCTGTTGCACATAAGACACCACGACCAAGACATTTACAAACTCTTGTTCTGATCAGCTATTGAGACAACATAAGCAAAACATTCCAAATGTTTGAAATGTGTTACATAAGTATTGTGCTGTTAACGAAGCCGTATTCTAGAGAGCCAACACATTTCCTTCCCTTCGCATTTCTCTGGAGAACCTGTACTGGTCATCCTACAACATGCATGTAACATCCAGTCAATTCTGTAGGTAACGGTGAGTAGAATAAAGAGCAGTTTGCAGCAATGCCCAAAATAACTTCCCACACTGACTTCTGTTGCCGGTGCCAGGAAACCAAAGAGATTTTTCAAAAGGTTGTTTGGGGTTCGATGCTCATTACTTTACATGTTATCAGAATTCTTTAACGTAACACTCTGTGGAGTGTTAATAACTTCGAAAGAGACTGGAAACATTTTAAATTGTATTGGAATAATGGAATATAATGTTGGTAATCTTGTTCCTTTATTGAAAATCAGTTTGGCAATTTCCATTGTGTACAAGCAGAAAAGTACTGTTTCCCCTCTTACCGTGCTTCTGTTTCTTGTTCATAGTGATTGATGTTTAGTGTAATATTTGTCTTAAAAACCAATCTACAGCTGCTTGAGACCCTGGCTGGGAAGGGGAGATTCTTTCGTGGTATATGAGAGAGAGCTGAAGCAGTGTTGTAGTTTAAAGACAGTGTTACAAATCAAGAATGAGTGGAGTTCAAATCTCGCCTCTGCCCTGAACTCTCCAAGAAGCCTTTGGAGAGCCTTGGCTCAGCTAGAGAGGGAAGAATGTGTTGCCTTTGGTTTTCCCCAATTTCTCATTTTTACAGTGTTGAGTGCCCTTCACTCTCATTTCTGCATAAAGTGTATGCACATTTCTCCTAAAAGACACATTTTAAAAACACAATTGGCTAATACAGTACAGTATTTTTACAAGCCACTGTCTCTAGTATACAGTGGTACCTCTGGTTACATACTTAATTCGTTCTGGAAGTCTGTTCTTAACCTGAAACTGTTCTTAACCTGAAGCACCACTTTATCTAATGGGGCCTTCTGCTGCTGCCGCGCCACTGCTGCTCAATTTCTGTTCTCATCCTGAAGCAAAGTTCTTAACCCGAGGTACAATTTCTGGGTTAGCGGAGTCTGTAACCTGAAGCGTCTGTAACCCGAGGTACCACTGTAATGGGTTTTTGCACAGTAACTGCACTTATATACACATCTTTGTACACACTTTTATTGGCATTACAAAATACAGAGAAGTGCAAATTCCAAAGGACAGCTATGCTTCGGTCACAGATGGGTTCAGGAAATGTAATTTGGGTGGGTTCACATTAAAACCTGAAGCAAAATTAATTTCTCCTCTAGATTTATCTCCAGTACATGCAGAGACACACAAATAATGTAGGGATAACCAATACTGAACTGTGGGGTTGTTGTAAAGATTACAACAAGATAATACATGTGAAGAGGAAATAACTGGATAATAAACCTTTTAATTTTTATTTATTTATTTTGTTTATTAAATTTGTGTACCGCCCTATACCCGCAGGTCTCAGGGTGGTTACAACATAAAATCACAATATAAAAACACAAAATACATAATAAAAACAAAAACAACTACAACCCAATACGACGCCCCCCAAACCCCACATTTTAAAAGGACATTGGATGTTGCTTAGCCAAAGGCCTGGTGAAAGAAGAAGGCTTTTACCTAGCGCCTAAAGGCGTATAATGAAGGCGCCAGGCAAGCCTCCTTGGGGACAGCATTTCACAAACAGGGAACAACCTCACATTGTAAGGATTTGTACAAAGTAAGGATGGATGAGTCAGTGCTTGTAGCAAACTCCTTTATCCGTGTGGTGGCTGCATTTACTAGGATGCACTTTTCTTTTCTGATGTATTGTGACATTATGAACATTAGCCTTGTAGCACGTGGAAGTTAAACCCACAACCTTTTCATCATATTAAACGAGGCCGGAAACCTCCGTCACCCTGAACTGATAAATGCACCTGGATAAGAAGAACTGGCAGAAGCCATGCCCTCAGGCCGTCAGATCTCTAGGGAGAAGTATCATACAGTACACAGACATTGATAACATTGCACAGTACCTCAGCCAAGCCACTCATTAGCACAGAATACAATAACAGCAGTGTTTATCTAGAGGTGATTATATGGAAATAAATATCTGTTTCTATACACAGAAGACAGCTGTGAGTAGGTGGCTTGCTCCTTCATGTACCTTCTGTCTCTAAAACACTCCACAGAATTTGCCAAACTCTCAATCATAGAAAAGTTTATCTGACACTGGCTGAGACACAATACTAAGTCACAGTTCAGCATTATGAGAACAATCAGTGGTGAGTCTCAGGAGAGTTTTTCATCCGAAATCATGATTTGATCCTCATTTGTCTGAACCAGCCACAGCTGGAGTAAGCTACAATTTCTCTAAATGACGGTATATTTCCGTGTAGAAGACAGTGCTTTTTGCTAAAAAAAAAATTAGGCAAAAATTGTGTGTTGTCTTCTACACGGATGGTGAATGCAGATGGGGGAACGTGCGATTAATGGCAGCAGCAAGCAGGAGATTGGCAGCGGTGATTGGGCGGGTGATTGGTGGCTGCAGCAAGGCCTGCTGGCAATTGGTGGCTGCAGCAAGGAGGTGAGTGGGCTGTTGGTGGTGGCGAGTGGGCAGACGATTGGCGGCTGTGGTGAGGTGTGCAATTGGCAGTGGCTGTGGCAAGCGATCGGCAGTGGCGGGCAGGCGGGTGAGCAAATGGCGGAAGTGACCTCCCCCACCCCCCAAAAAGCTAAACAACTTGATTTCTTAATTTTGGGTTAAAAAACATAGGGGTCGTCTTATACATGGAGGCGTATTATACACGGGAAAATACTGCAGGCTGTGATGGGCAGCAGAGCCAGGTTCACTACAGGCTTAATTGGGGGCAGTTAGTGATGGGATCCACTACACGTGCCCATGTCTTTGACTCATCCTCCTCAGTTTGGGGCAGTTGGTGTGCTTCAGGGAATGGTGTGTCTGAATGTAGAAATAAATGTATGTGACGCAAATTCTGATGTCATGAAGAATCTGCAAAATCAGAAATCAGAACTGAGGTGATCCAGGGATGCAGTCTTGCTACCCAAAGTGCCATCACAAGAAAGTAAACTGTATTGAACTCTGTGTGGCTCACAGCCTTATTATCCTTTGCATCCTTTGTCAGAATCACTTGTGCTTCCAGTACAATACTATCTAGTAGCATTTAGAGGGGTTTTTTTTGGGGGGGGGAGGGGAGACCAGCAGAGCAATCAGTGTTGTGGGGCAATATATTTTCCCCTCATAATACTAGAACTTTGGGATCACCCAGTACAGTGGTACCTCGGGTTAAGTACTTACTTCGTTCTGGAGGTCTGTTCTTAACCTGAAACTGTTCTTAACCTGGAGCACCACTTTAGCTAATGGGGCCTCTTGCTGCTGCTGTGCCGCCGAAGCATGATTTCTGTTCTCAACCTGAAGCAAAGTTCTTAATTCGAGGTACTATTTCTGGGTTAGCGGAGTCTGTAACCTGAAGCGTATGTAACCCGAGATACCACTGTACTCAAAGTGATTAGTAATAGATGCAGAAAAAATACATTTTCATCGAATGTGTAGTTAGATTATTTACTGCTAAGACATATCACTAGTTCAGATGGCTTTCCAAGTGGGCAAGGAATATGCTCAGAAGATATGTCTTAAGGTTTGTTAGCTATGATTAACTGCATGTTCAGAGGAACAGAAAGCTGCCTTGCACTGAATGAGACCACTGATCCATGTGGCTCAGAAGTTGCTCTCTGGGGTTTCAGGCAAGAATTTCTTCCAGGCCTACCTGGAGATGCCAGGAATTGAACCTGGGACCTTCTGCATGCAAAGCAGATACTCCCCCATTGAGAATAGAGCCCGTAGAGTCAGCATATCTGAGTGTCAAATGCAAGGGACGCAAGGCAGGAGAGGTGGCTGTTTCCATGCCTTGTTTCTGATCTTCCCAGAAGCTTCTGGGTGGTGCTGTTGGAAACAGCTTGGAATGCATGAACCTTTGTATCTGCAGGGCAGCTCTTAAACTTCACTCTCTCTGCTTGGGAGAAGGATGTCAGGAGGAAAGGAAGGAAGCTGCCTTATACTGTAGTGTGTTATCCATCTAGGTAAGTGTTGTCTACCTGGACTAGCAACAGCCCTCCCAAGGACACAGATAAATGTATTTCATATTACAGTAACAGAGTCTCATGAGTTCAATATCATGCACAAAATGATTCTGCTGTTTGCAAGGGCTGAAGAAGAAGATGACCAGAAATGGGTTATATGTGCTACAAGATTGATCATGAGTAAGTAAAACAGAAGTACAGGTTGGCCCAAAGGCTGCTGCCTTGTAATTTGTTTTTGTTGTAAATTTGCTACACTTAATGAAGGGTGCCTTTTCTAACCTGTGTATGCTTTCTCTACTGTGAGAAGGATACACTGCTTGTGATATTAATAGTAATATTGCAGTATGATGGCAATGAGCCATCTCAGAACAAGCGAGCAGTTGGGTTTGGAATTAATGAAGGAGAAGGTAAAATAAAAGGCTTATAAATCAGTTGATGGAAAAGCTATGTGGCAAGCTTGGGGGTGAGGCAAGGCAGATGCACAGCAAAATGAAGGCAGTCTGAGCAACAGCAGCAGCAGAGTCCCCTAATCCTTTGCCCAGCAAACAACCCAAATCTGGACACCTACAGAAGTTGGGGACGTGTCGGCTGATGCATTCTGACCTATCGCTGGTGGTGTGGCTTTAGTTTCTGCTGTTGACTGTAATCGGTTTTATGCTACACAGACTGAATTCGTCCTTGATTTTTCCCAGGTACCATGTTGAGGATTTGCTGCAGACTTGAGTCCTGACATTAGCACCACAAACCTTTAAAAATATTACAGAAATGGAGAATAGATTGCAAAACATACTTATATTTAGGTTACCAGAAGAATTATAGAATTCTTGAGTTGAAAGGCACCTTGATGGTCATCTAGTCTAACCCCCTGCAGTACAGAAATCTCAGCACCTGAACACTTTTTTAAAAACCTGCAACCTACTGGATTTTTTCAACTAAGTTTTACACAGAAATTAATGAGCATGACTGAAGTTAGGTCCCTCAATTTCAGTAGGTCATCTGAGTAAAACTTAGATGAATACCACTTACTAAGTCTAGATCAGCTGAACAAAGCCATTTTATTCAGTCCTAATAAAAATGTATCAGGGAGAGATGCTTCAGAATAGATGCTTTATTTATACAGATTGTTTCTCCAGTTTAAAGGAGGAAGGAAATATGTTAAAAGTGGGCAGGTGCAGGCATGGAAAGAATCCGTAGCAATTATTACTTGGGCTTTAGCATCTCAGTTGAACTCTCAGTTTAACCACTTCAGGGCATTGCTGTGATTCTCCATGAACCATGGCAAGCAATTATTTTGTACATTCTCATTAGCTTTAGGGACATAATAGGCCAGTTCAGAGCATGTGTAGGTTGGCTGTATTCATCGCAGCAGAATTTTTTATCAGCTCATCCGTCCATTTCAGGTGTCCTGCAATTTTAAATCCAGAAAATTGATTTCAAGCAGTCTCAGTAAAGATGTGAAGTTGATATAGAATCATAGAATTGTAGAGTTGGAGGGGACTGTGAGGGTCATCTAGTCCAACCCCTGCAATGCAAGTATCTCAACTGAAGCATCCATGGCAGATGGCCATCCAACCTCTGCTTAAAAACCTCCATGGAAGGAGAGTCCACAGCCTCCCAAGGGGATCCATTCCACTGTTGAGCAGCTCTTACCGTCAGAACATTCTTCCTCATGTTTAGTTGGAACCTCCTTTACTGTAGCTTGAATCTGTTAGTTCAAGTCCTTCCCTCCAGAGCAGGAGAAAACAAGCCTGCTCCCTCTTCCATGTGACAGCCCTTGAGATATTTGAAGAAGGCTCTCATATGTCACCCCAGTCTCCTCTTTTCCAGGCTAAGCATGCCCAACTCCCTCAAGTGTTCCTCGAGGGTCAGGTCAAGGTCACCCAGTGAACCTTGTGGCTGAGTGGAGATTTGAACCTGGATGTCCCTGGTCTGTGCTCAAGTGTCCCCCACCCCACCCCACAGATGCAACTATAGTGAGCTGCAGTGCCATGATCTCCTTATATAAGAAATTTGAAAAAGGTCCGGTTCTTATTCAGCCAGCTGAAGCACCATGAGATTGTTTTTTGAGGGAGGCAGGTTTTATTTTATGACAAGCTGCTGTGTGTTTATATTTTATAGTTGGCCTCTCTTGGCAGCTTCTCTTTATTGAGTTAGTACAGCATAGTGGCTATCAGTTAAGAAGTTCCCATTTCAGATCTCACCTCTTCTGCCTTAAATATGTGATGTCATCTGACTTGGCTCACCATCTGTGGGTCCTTGCTGCGGGATCACATTCATCCAGTGCTTTACCAACTGCACTGGCTCCCGGTGGAGTACAGGGTCAGGTTTAAGGTGCTGGTTTTGACCTTTAAAGCCCTATGCGGCCTAGAACCCACGTACCTACGGGACCGCCTCTCCTGGTATGCCCCATGCAGGACCTTAAGGTCCACAAATGACAACATTTTGGAGGTCCCAGGTCGCAAGGTGGTTAGATTGGTCTCAACTAGGGCCAGGGCCTTTTCAGTACTGGCCCCGACTTGGTGGAACGCTCTTCACAAGAGTCAAGGGCCCTGCAGGACTTGACATCTTTGCGCAGGGCCTGCAAGACAGAGCTGTTCCGCCTGGCCTTTGGTTTGGACTCAGTCTGACCCTTATATTTCCCTCCCCTTATGGTCTTGATCTATTGTCTACTTTTAAAATGAGGCTGCATTTTAAATTGCATTTTAACCTGTATTTTAAATTGGTTTTCCCCCCTTCTTTTCCCCCTGTTATGTTTTTACTGTGATTTTATTGGTGTTAGCCACCCTGAGCCTGGCTCTGGCCAGGGAGGGCAGGGTATAAATAAAATTTATTAGTATTATTAGTAGTAGTATTAGTATTATTATTAGGGATAATGGTGACTTTACATTTCAGGGGTGTGGAAAAGATTCTTTAAAAGATGAAAGATGTACAGGAAGAACTTTGCGCACTCAGAAGCAGCACTATATAAAATTGCATTATAAATGCTGAATCTTTTAAATTTTTGGATAATTAAAGATTGCTTAATTAAAGTGGTCTTCCCTGAAAGAAAAGACCCTGCATACAGAGAACTGGTATGTAGGTTTTCACATCCCCCGCTAGGAAACAGCTTTCAGATATTCAGCTTGAAGGAAGAGCTTTGTCACTTGAGGTTTATGGCTGTGCCTTTGCCTAGGAGTAGAGGCAAAGTGACTCCTGCTCTTTCAAAATCGGTGAGTTGTTTATGCTCACGAGATTGTCCTCATTCACCCTACAAATGATCTTGTTTTTATTTCTGCTAGAAGTGCTTCAGTTGGCAGCAGGGACTGGGTGTACAGCTTCCTTTCCTTTTCCCCATGCCGTTTTGGGTCCCTGTAGGGTAATTAAGAGGGGACCTTTTCAAGATAGTAGCATATTTCATGCAGGCTAATGCAGGAGTGGTAATTAAATGATTTGCTTTCTATGTGGGGTCTTGCCAACACTCTCTTGGCAGTGAGATGCAAGCCTCCGTCACCAGCTGACAAGTCTCAGCAATAACCTGTAGTAAATAGTGATAAAAGCTGCGCTTCACATGATCTGCACAAGGTGCCTTTCTAATGATGCTTAACTTTTCTGTTCTCTCCCCCTTATGATATCTGAGCAAACAGAAATACTGTACATTTTTTCAGGATGAAGTCTTCCTTCTGGTAGTGCTGGAGCTGAGTGATGGTCACTGTTGCAAAGACAATGGGACCTCAATAAGCCAACAGTCTGAAAACACCCTGTCCTGGGGGAAACATCTCCAGTCATCTCAGAGTGAGGAAGCAGCTATGCTTCTCCTTTCCACTTCCCCTCCTCTGAAACCAGCATGCTTACGGCAGCTGAAGCTGAGGGCGGGCAAAGCAAGGAAGATGCCTTGCTCAAGTTGTCTATAAGCTGAAAATGATTGCCTTGTATTAATGACAACGACTAATAATGGTTGATCATGAATCTAAATTATTGCTGGGGCAAGCAGGGACACCGCTGTAGAAATGGGTTCCTAAATGTCATTGCTCTTCCTTTTTGCCGCTGAGATTCCCTCCTCCAAAGGCCCAGCGCAAAGTCCAGTTCAATACTTTGTCCTCTTGGCCAGTTTTCTCTCCTTCTTTCACTCCCTGGGGTTGGGGAGAGCCAACTGGAGCTGCCGCTCACCTGGGGCCGGTTGGCAAGGGAGACATTTGTTTCAAACCTCCACTCTCAAAGGAAGTTGTGTTATATATGAGGTTTGCGTGGCTTCCACATAATAAAAGGTGGGACTTAACCGGGTAGGATCCTGCTAGGAAACAAATGGAAAAAATTGGCCAGCATTACAAGTTCAGCCATTTGGTGTTTTAAAAACCGCTGCAATGTGGGTTCGGTGGTTCTTAATTGTCATCTTGATTGTGATTGTAAGCTGTTGGTTTTTAATACAGTAATGCTGCAACTTATGCTGTGGTTGCATTCCACGGATCATGCCTAAAGCCCTAATTGTTTCTAGTCAAAACCCATTGGCTTCAGTGGTGGTTGGGATTGCCAAAGTCATTTTTCCTGGAAACCCACCTCCTTTCCACTTCTTTTTATTTTTTATTTACCACATATGTAAAGCTGACGGCACACAAGTTAAATGCATGTAAGTTGTGGGCCTACTGTCTTGTGTTTTAATGTTGTAACCTGCCCTGCGACCTTAGGGTGAAGGGCAGACAAGGAATAAATCAAACCAATCAACCAATATGGATCTCTTTTCTAAAAGGTTGTTTCAAAGATGACCGCATTGTATTCTGGACTTGGATGTTTTCCACTTACTTTATGGAGAAATGGGCCCCCCGGCAAGATGACATGCTCTTCTATGTCCGAAGGAAACTGTCATACGTTGGTGGAGACAATACAGATGGGAAGAAGGTAAGTTGGGTAATGGAATCTTACACCCAAGAGGCACATTTTCCTTCAGGTTAAGTGCAATTTGTGTTTTGGCACTGCCTGCATTCTGAGCAATGCTGTGTGTCGAGAGATGCCGTAAAGCTTGGATAGACTCTTGGGATGTGCTGGCTTATAAAAATTAAAGATATTTTTACATGAAATATTTGGCCATCATGATCTTAGGCAATGAAATGGGAAAGAATACTACAATTATGTGTTCTGGGGTGCTTTGCCACGTTATAGCATTTAGAACCCGGAGGCCATTTGTATGACAGTCGGTGCTTGCGATCATGTGGTAGGTATTAGCTCATGTTATAAAATTCTAGAGGAAATGAAACATACCCACTTAACAACCACTCGCCACATTTCCCTGAATATAAAGTTTGTGAAGCTGGCCACAAGTACCCTTAAATCGACTTGATTTGGAGCTATTTTGTGATGATTAAAAAATCCACTTGGAAGTCAGAAGACAAATGCATTTTGTTTCTAGATTGGACATTATGAAATGTAAAGATTGTAACCTGATGTTGTTGTTGTTTTTCAAAAATGATTGTATGATATAGCTCATGGGTAGCAAACATTTCTCAGCCAGAGACTTGCGTTCCCTCACAGGCAATCTTCTGGGGGATGGATGGCAGTGATGGGCAGGGGCAGAAGTGGGTCAGGCTATGGGCAACAGATGCAACAGGGCACATTCAACTGTGAATAGTCCAATGTTTCTACTCTCTCTCTCTCTCTTCTCCCTCCAGGCAAACAAGAGCCATTCTTGCAGTTCAGGGATACATTCCAGCCAGGCAAAACCAGAGCAAGGCAAGAAGGGCCTGGTCTTGGGAGAGTCTCAAGGGCTAACTAGAGAGACTGGGAGGACCACAGTCCATCCCTGGGCTTCGTATTTCCCAGCCCTAGACTTAAGGGCTGCAATAGAGACTTCAGGGCTTTGCTCACGTTTATTCTCATAGAGAACACTGTTCCGTTTGTGAGAGAGCAGCAAATCACACATATGCTGTATCAAAACACATTGACGCAACGTGAAGAACTGTCTCTGTGAGACAGGAATTGTTTCTGTGTATATTTATGTACTTGTGAATACTCATACCTTGGTTTTCGAACAGCTTAGTTCTTGAATGTTTTGGCTCCCGGATGCCGCAAACCTGGAAGTGACTGTTCTGGTTTGCGAACTGTTTTTGGAAGCCAAATGTCTGACGGGGCTTTCGCGGCTTCTGATTGGCTGCAGGAGCTTGCTAGCTGCAATTTGGTTTCCAAATGTTTTGGAAGTTGAACGGACTTCTGGAACGGATTATGTTCGACTTCCAAGGTACAACTATATTTGAAACTTCCTGGTACCTGAGAATTTGCTCAGAGTCAAGGCTATACCATAGTGGATTTCAGAATGTGTTCTGGAGAGCTCTTGGAGTTCCTCAGAAGCTTCTTGAGGTGGGCTGCATTCATGAGAAGCATTCATGAGAAGCTTTTTCCCTGACAAAGAGCTTGCCCAGTCCTGGCACCTTTCCCCTGCCATATGCAGCTACCAGAGAATGCTGGTTGGGTCAGGGCACATGCTCGATTTATGTGGCACTAGACCCTGTGTGAGGGACGCGGGTGGCGCTGTGGGTTAAACCACAGAGCCTAGGACTTGCCGATCAGAAGGTCGGTGGTTCGAATCCCTGCAACGGTCCCTGCTCCTGCCAACCTAGCAGTTCGAAAGCACGTCAAAGTGCAAGTAGATAATAGGTACCGCTCCGGCGGGAAGGTAAACGGCCTTTCCGTGCACTGCTCTGGTTCGCCAGAAGTGGCTTAGTCATGCTGGCCACATGACCCGGAAGCTGTACGCCGGCTCCCTCGGCCAATAAAGCGAGATGAGCACTGCAATCCCAAAGTCGGTCACGACTGGACCTAATGGTCAGGGGCCCCTTTACCTTTACCTAGACCCTGTGTGAGGTGCACAGGAATTCCTCAGCATGCACCTCTAAGCAACAGAAGGTAGAAAAAAATGTTTGAAGAACTATTGCACAGGGCTATACATTCCTCTCTTTCTAGGATATTTGTTATCCTAAATCTGGACTACTCTGTTTCTCTTAGAACTGCAGGAGAGGAAATAAAATGGCTCTTGTAGGCATCTGTCAGTATCTCCAACTCATCTGCCCAGGTGAAGAATTGAGTAGGTGGCAGCTGCTGTGGCAGCATCAATGTGCTGGGGGAAATAAGGCAAGCCAGGGAGTGGGAGAGATGGAGTGAAGAGCTATCGAGCGAAGCAGGAAATGGGGAAGGCTGGAGCAGAAGAGAAGCGGGAAAATATACATGAGTCATTCCCTCCTTTACTTAGGTATCACTAACACCACTTCTAGTAGCGTATTCTTTCCTTCTGATAGGTTAAAAGCTTGATTTAGTGATAGATTACAGGTTGATGAAATGTCTCTTCCTTTTTATGAGTCTCGTTTAAGGCAAAGTGCAACCAGATGTTTATATGATAATGTATATTGATTTGACATAAAATGCGACCTGAAAGCTGGAAGCACTGTATAGAGTAAATCTTCTCACCAGTGCAGAGGTGGTTGTGTGAGGAGGAGGAGGAGGATGCAAAATTTTCCATTTCGTGCAGAATGATTGCTTCCTGTCATGGCAGAAATGTGGATCTGTGCATGCTTGTGTTGGCTCATTGTGGCATAGGTAGCTGTGGCAATTTTGTTTTCAATGAGAGAGGAGAAAGTGGCAGCTTGATATGCCATCAATTTGTGGTCTAAGTTGGAGAAAATGAGAAATCACAGTGTTTGGAGGTGACAAGACAGTGGGGAGGAAGGAGAACCTCCTTTGGCTCTCTTTGCTTCTCCTACCATGGCTGATCTTGGGTCTTCAACACAGTGGAACAGTCGGTGCCCTGAACCCATGTGGTGAGAGCCCCTAGATATGTAGACCAGGGATGGCCACCTTCTGTGTTCTTGGAAGCCCCTCTTTTCCTGACTGTGGCCTGGTGTAAGGCTCTACAATAAGATGAGCAGAAAGAGCTCTGCGTGTGCGTTCGGTGTGGACACTGCTGGGATGTTGCATTCGACCCCAAACAAAGATGTATTGTTAACATGGGAAGCATATTTCTTTCCCTTGGCAAGTGGCACCTTCTTCTGCCCATCTCTCTGCCCAGCTCCTCTTCCCCTTCTCATACTCCACACTGCGCCTGCAAAAAACAAACTGTGCAAACATTCTTATTTTCACATACGTTGTCCACAAAATAATGTTATTGATTTAGAATAATTTTATAAACTACTTAATCAGACACAACCCTGAGTTGTGTTTATGTAAAATATAATAAAATAATTATCAGTGCTATATGAATAAAACCACACTGCCTTTTTGTATGCATTTTGCTTTTGTTTTTTAATTATTTCTCTGAACTGGGAACTGTGTTTTTGTCAAACTTTGAGAAGTGCAAAAACCAAAGAAGATTAGTCTGGGATGTGCAAATCAAGTCACTTCACTTGAAATTGTGGACTGGACAAATCCTTGAGCATCCCCAACGGCTGCTGTGCCCTTATGGAGAAAGTGGTCATCCTCCATAGTCTGTTCCCTTGATCCTTTCAATTACTTTTCCTTGCTGAAACATGGCCTTCCTCCCTTTGACACAGCCCACCAATGCTGCCTCCTCCTCCTCCCCTGCTCCTCACCCCCCACATCCCTATCCTGCTGCTTTTTTACCCTCTGCTGTCCTTTGCATCCCCATGTTGCTGTTCTCTGTCACCCTCCTGATGTCTGGCTAGTCACCTTCCTCGGCAACAGTGCCCATTCTCTGCAGTGAGGTGAAATTTCAACATTCATGTGGCTAGTCCCTCTGACCTAGCTGCCTCCCTGTCTCCTCTCCCTTTCCTCTTCCTTTAGTCTTTGCCTCTGAACTGACTCTCAGCACACACTGCCTTGGGCTCTCTCTGGATCTTGGCTTCACTAAGGGCTGCTTTGTGCCTGACCTCTCTGATGTGGAAATCTTGTGTCTCCTTGAAAGTCACGCACTGTCTGTCCTCCTCATGTGGTCCTTCTATGGTCCACTCATCCAGCAGCCTTCTCGGAAGCATTATCCTGTCTTCTCCTGTTGTCCTCCTCCCAGTGTGAAATCTGGAAGCCCCTAGTCATGAACCGGCCCATGGGCGGTGGATACAGATTCAGTCATTCTGACTCAAGGAATGAGGCAGTTGAGTAGCTCGGCAACTGTATCCATGACTGAGCAGTCCTATTTAGGATCCACTCTGCTCACCCTGAATAGGGGCAAGGGCTAGAAAAGGCGCCCGAAACATAGTCTGCCTCCCTTTTTCCCTGACTGGATAACTGCGCCCAGTGGGGTCACCACTCAGCGATCACAAAAGACAATTGAAATTTGGAACATGGAATATACGGACTTTGTTGGATAACACAGACAAGGAGCGTTCCAAACACAGAACTGCCATCATCACAAGTGACATTTTAACATTAATATTGCATCGCTTCAAGAAACTCGAAGAGCAGAAGAGGGACAACTGAAGGAAGAAAAAGGAGGCTACAGATTCTTTTGGAAAGGTCTACATGAACAAGAACATTGAATACATGAAGTAGGCTTTGCTATCAAAAATGATCTTGTGAAGCTCTTGTCAGAAGTCCCTACCGGCATTAATGAGCGACTTTCAAACCTTTGAATAAAACTCACCCAAAACCAACAGACTACTATTCTAAGCGCTTATGCACCAACACTGGATGCCGATGAAGACATTAAAGACAATTTTTATTCTCAGCTGGATGCCACCCTGATTTTCATGCAAGAGTTGGGCGAGATTTTGATCTGTGTCCTGGGACGATTGGGAAAGAAGGAATTGGCAACAGCAACCAGAACAGAAATCTTACTTTTGGCTATACGTGCAATTCTTCCTGAAATTGAAAAAAAGTTCTTTTTAAGTGCTAACTCAACTATTGCACATGCAATTGCTATAGGAGCCCAACTCCTCCCAGTCTATTCAATAACCTCCATAGCCTCCTGTTGAGAAATGTCTGGTGCGGCATTCTGGAATTGCAAAAACAGCTTATTTATTGCAATTCTTTGGGTTTACTGTGGATAAGCTGTGAAATGAGTGGAACTTCTAGGCAGCCTTGAGCTATAACACCTCTCATATTAAATTTTAAAAGGGGGGGAGGAGAGAGTTTGGGAGCAGGTTGAGTTAAAGTCCAAAGGGAGAAATATTTGGAGTTCATAATGGTTACTTTGAATTAGAGTAGTGGTGGCACCACTGCTTCTTATCACTGTTCCTCTCAGTCTCAGAAAAGAATTGCAAAAGACTTGTGATAATCTGAGGTTCAAACCCAATTTTTGGAAGTTACAACCTTGAATGACCACTGCTTTGAATAATCTCCCTGCCCTTCTCCTTTGCTTATGTTTCTTGACTGTGAGCCTGTGGGCAGGGGCTACCTTTGCTTTTAATAAATTTGTAGCCACTCAAATATGAGTTTCCCCGTTACTTAAAGACACCTTTTGGTTTTTCCCCCTCAGCAGGTTGAAGTGGAAGTGTACCGCAGGGATTCTAAAAAGCTGCCTGGCCTGGGAGATCCAGATATCGACTGGGAGGAAAGTGTCTGCTTGAACCTTATCCTGCAAAAGGTAGCCTAACCTTTCTGTTTCTCCAGGCATTGATTTATTAATATAGGAAGCCCCTTCCCTTTATGGAACACAGATATTTTGTCTGTGTGTGGTTGTGATGGGAAGGCAGTTTCATTGGCCCTGTGCCCTTTGCTTCATACGGATATAGGATTTTCATCTGTCCAAAATTGCCTGCGTTTTGACAGCCGGGCTGCCTGGTCAAGGGCAAAGGCTGTAGTGCATTTCCTTTGCATGCAAAAGGCTCACTTCCTGGCATCTCCAGATAGGGGTGGGAATGTCTCCAGCCTGAGACACTGGAGAGCCGCTGCCAGTCAGTGTTGACAATATTGAGCTAAATGGTATAAGGCTGCATCCAAGGTGGTCATCCATATATGAGCTCTTCATGGAGTGCTGGGGCTTATGTGTCGCTTGTGAATTGATGGTGACCTGTGTTGCTTGTTGCGCCAAGCTGGAAGAAGGCATCTAAGGAATCAGTCAAAGGCCAATGGTGCCTGCCATTTCCAGATGCAGCTTTGTTTCCTAGCTGGCTGCAAGGCAAGACCAGTATTTTGGGGATTATTTTGAAGAAGCATCGTCCTTCTCCTTAGTGCAAATAGGATAATGTAATGGAAGCTGTCCAGCAGGCCCAAGAAGGGAAAAGAGAGAACTTCTTAAAGTGCCTTCTTGGGGTGATAATAGAAATATTGAATAGTAGGGTTGGAAAGAACAGTACCCTGAATGTCATCTTGTCCAGGCCCCTGCAATACAGGAATGTTCCTTAAGTTTGGAAAGAAAATCAGCTCTGTCCCAGAATTTGCATTCAGAGGTGACAACTTGATTTTCTCAGGGGAGGGGGTGGGGAGCCCAACTTCAGTGCTTCTCAAATATTTAAGGGTAAAGGGAGAGGATCCAGAAGCTGACTGTGCCACTTACCTTCCATTATTCAGTAGCATGGCAGGTAAGGCACAAGAACCAGTCTCTTGGATTTTGTGACATAATCATTCCTCTGCCGAGCCACTTCATGTGTCTGGGCTCTGCTCTTCTCATATCCACAATCACTAACCCACATCCATCACATAAACCTCAGAGGTCCAGCTTTACTCCATTCTGTGTGTGCCCTTCTGTATGTAGCTTTTGCTAATGCCTTGTCTATTTTTTCTTAGCGTTGTAAGTGTCTAGTAACTGTCCAAACCACCAAAAAGAAAGTGTTCAGGTATTCTCTTAAATCAGGGGTGGTGAACTTCTGGCTTTTCCAGTGTTGGACTTCATCCCTCATCATTCTCAGCCTTTATGATTGATTCTCAGGTTTGGTAGGGGTCCAGCAACATCTGGGCAGTCACAGGTTCTCTACCCTGGTTCTAAATAATACATATGCTAGGAAGATGGAAACTACTTACTTGTGGGTTCATTCCATAGCAGTAATAAAGTGTATAAATGACTGCAATGGCATTGGCAGGTGTGATCACATGGGACTCTTCATCCTGGGATTGTCCAAACTGTGGGAAAGGTCCATGTGATCAGCCCTAGTCACTCTGGATATGTTCCTATGTAATGCTAAGCCATCATTGGTCTTAAAACAAGGTTTGTTCAGCAAACCATGAGTTGTCTCACTGATGAGCCATGACTTTTGCCCCCATAGTTTGTTTTGTTTTCCATTTGTTCTTCGGTTGTGTCTTTGTAGCTTGGTGTTTGGAGATAAGGTGGCCACACAAACCTAAGCACGACTGTTGAAGACTGGATTTTCCGAATCTTAACATTCTTGTTTAACCATGGTTAATTGGGCCACCTTGGTCGTCTCTTCCACCCTGGTTGTGTTCCTACATAATGCTAAGCCATTGTTGGTTTTAAACCTTGATTTAATATTTTTATTTCTGGAAGACCCTGACCTCAAACCACACAGATTCTGTTTTTAATGCATATCAATGCAAAATATATGTCTGTGCAATTTACTGTAATCATACATTGGCTGTGCACCAGTGGACAACCATTCTGAATTATATCAGCTATAGATGAGAACAATTGCTGGTGAGATTACTATGTTGGAATATACACAGTTCTAGGTTGAGCTGGCGCCTGTCATTTCTGATCTAGAAGACAATTGTCTCCTATTGTGTCAGCTTAGCAGCTCCTGCCTTAGCTGTTGCACAGTATGTTGGAGTACAGAGACAGATCTTTGTTTCCACTTAATTGACAGTCTAGACTTCTCTGCAGTTTTATTACTCATTGAAGATGCTAGACATCATGTACACCCTGGGAGTTTTCTTGCTCAAAGTTTGGAATCTTGACTTTTTTAAAAAAGAGAGAGAGAAATGATTCAGTTTTTAAAGCTGTTATATTGTTGATTTACATTTAGTTTTAATCTGTGGTTTTAGCTGACTTGAGCACTCTTTAAGGAAAGACTGGATTCAAATTCCATAAAATAGATGTTGGGTCATTCTAGAATGTTTGTCATGTGCTGTGTTCCCTTTTTTTAGCCCAACAATATTTAATTGTTAGATCAGTCAACTAAAAAAGCAAGAACCCATCTCTGGTGGTCAATTTTCATTTGGGGGAGCTAAAAGTTAATGGTTCACCTCCTTGCTATTGAGGCTGTTTTGATTCTGGTGTACTGCTACAATAGACAATTAAAAAGAAGACATGAAAAACGACATAAGTAAAATAAGCTATCTTACCCTTCTGTATATTGAGAGTGTGACAGAATTCAAACGCATCATCAACAAGCAGATAACTTCTCAACTACAGTGGTACCTCGGGTTACATACGCTTCAGGTTACATACACTTCAGGTTACAGACTCCGCTAACCCAGCAATAGTACCTCAGGTTAAGAACTTTGCTTCAGGATGAGAACTCCGGTGGCGTAGCGGCAGCAGGAGGCCCCATTAGCTAAAGTGGTGCTTCAGGTTAAGAACAGTTTCAGGTTAAGAACGGAGCTCCGGAACGAATTAAGTACTTAACCCAAGGTGCCACTGTACAAAATGTTGAAGATGGTGTCTGCACTTAAAACAAATAAAATCCCTCTGCCGCCTCCCCCCCCAGGTTTCAGATGTGTGGATGTACCTTTCTGTTCCCCTTTCAGACTGGTTTTGCCCTTGGAGAAGTCCTCCTCTTTCTGTTGGCCTTTGTTCTCTGTCCTGCTATATTTATTGTCACAGAGTAGGGATATTAAAGTTGTGATGGCGAAACCTCTGCAGGTAGAAGTGTCTCTGGCTGCCACTGGCCAGAGGGGCCAACTCCCTGGGGCCTGAGCACCCACAAAATTCTCCATGAAGGGACTGAGCGCCCACAAATTTCAGTGCCACTGAATTGCACGCTGCATTGCACCCGCGACCTCGGGCACCCATGACTGGGGGCCAGGCTGGCACTCCTGCCCTTGGCTGACCTGCTCTGGTCTTAGGAAGGGTCAAGGTAAGCAGAAAGGTCTGGCAAAGGAGGAGTAGAGGAAAGAGGAAACAGGTAGCTCAGAACAAGAGGAGGCAGCATGATCCTCGTTTGATAAAAGTGCTGTTTTTGAACTAGGCTGTGTGTGTCCTGGGAGGAGGGTCTCTGCAGAGCAGTTAGACATTGACTGGGGAAGGAACTTGCCTTTAAAAAGCAGACCAGAGTATTTATGAATCAGAGAGGAAATGGAAACTGGAAGGTCACATTTTCTCCTCTAGTTGCTGACGCTGGGGAGCAAAGCTTATTGAAAAAGCTGTTAAGGCTGTCATTCTGCTTTGGTTGTGTACAACCATTAATGCTTCTTTTCCAATGCCTTGGTGTTGTTTCAGCTGGATTACATAGTGACTTGTGCGGTGTGTACTCGTTCAGATGGAGGGGATATCCACATTCATAAAAAGAAATCCCAGGTGAGAAGTGCAGCTCATCGTGAGAAACTTGAAGGGACAGCCTTGATCTCAGCCCCTTTCCCTTCATGTACATGCCAATATCCATGCAGCAAGCTAATAACATCTTCCAAATGGTTTCTTCCAGCAAGTCTTTGCATCTCCAAGTAAGCACCCTATGGATAGCAAAGGGGAGGAATCGAAGATCAGCTATCCAAACATATTTTTTATGATTGACAACTTTGAAGAGGTAGGTCGCTCACAAGAACAGATGCCATTTCTTGTGCTCGTCTTTAATTTCAAATAGTTGTGGTAGCTCCAGCCAACAGTGCTGTGTTTACTTAACGTAACTGCACTGCATGGGAACATCTGGACACATCTGAGTTTGTTTCCTCTACTTGTATTCCTTTTCCTTAGAAAGCTTGGAGCAGATTATGTGGGGCTCCTGACGGTCTCCCCTCTGAGCCTAGGCTGGCTCTTGGCTCCTCTGTTGGTACAGAGGACCTGTAAACATAGAGGAACCTTACCTACAAGTGTTAATCACTTGCAGACAGACATAATCACTTGCAGACAGACAGGAGTGTGGTGGAGTCTCCTTCTTTGGAGGTCTTTAAGCAGAGGCTTGACAACCATATGTCAGGAGTGCTCTGATGGTGTTTCCTGCTTGGCAGGGGGTTGGACTCTATGGCCCTTGTGGTCTCTTCCAACTCTATGATTCTATGATTCTATATGCAAAATACTGTAAAGCAAGTTCAAAGCCCAAAGGAAAGACTTGGAAAAGCTCAGTAACTGTTTAACCTCGTTAAATAAAATGCATGTCAAAATTTTGCAGTATCTTATCAAATAAACCACAGAGCCTAGGGCTTGCCGAGCAGAAGGTTGGCTGTTCGAATCCTTGCGACGAGGTGAGCTCCCGTTGTTCAGTCGCAGCTCCTGCCCACCTAGCAGTTCAAAAGCACGTCACAAGTGCAAGTAGATAAATAGGGAAGGTAAATGGCATTTCCGTGCACTGCTCTGGTTCGCCCGAAGTGGCTTAGTCATGCTGGCCACATGATCCGGAAACTGTATGAAGGCTCCCTCGGCCAATAAAGCGAGATGAGCACCGCAACCCCAGAGTCGTCCACGACTGGACTTAACAGTCAGGGTCCCTATACCTTTATCAGATATTGCCAAAGGCTTAGAGATTGTCCTTTTCCTTAGACACTCTGAAGGTTGGCCCTGGGCAAAACTGGAGGTTGTTAATCCACCATATCCAGCCCCCCGACCTGCCCTTGCTGGCAGAGCAGAAGCACCTGTGTACTCTTCTGCCCTTCCTCCTCCTCCTCCTCCTCCTCCTCTTCTTTTTCTTCTTCTTCTTCTTCTTCTTCTTCTTCTTCGCTATTTCTCTCCCATTAGAAATGAAAGGGTCAGTTCTTAAATTTCCCCTGGACTTGAGGGTCTTTGGGGGGAACCACCTTTTGGCTCAGCTGATGACAAGGTGGTGATGGGAGACCTGGTGTGGTGTCTCTCTCTCTCCCTCTCCCTGTACCTCCCAGGGGTCCAGAGAGAGGACTGCAGCCTCACCATGACTGTGTTGTGTTCCTCAGTGGACAGTAGACCGTATGTCAGCAGAATTGGGAGGGAAGCACTTTCTGATGATTGCCCCCACCCCATGCCCCTTTTAGGAAGAACAGAGGTGTGCTTCAGTGGGGAAGGGGAGATAAATGGAAATTGGTTCCCTCTCTCTTCAGTCACACAACGCTCAATTTCTCTCCCCCCCCCCCCACATTATATTGTATTAAGTTATGCTTTGTGAGCATTTTGGGCAATTTCATGTTTAATGCTCTTCCCCCTACTGCCCTTCTTGCTCAAAAAAATAAAATCGGATACATTTTAACTGCTACAAGTTTTAGTGCTTTCAGGCCAATCATTTGGAATTTGCTTTTCAGAAACAAAGTCCTGCATTGTGTGCCTTGAAAAGGACGCTTGTATTTTGCAATCTATGTAAAATAGGCGGCAGCAAATGAAGTTATCTAGAGCTGCTGTTTTTTCCTCCTTCTACTAAGTGCAAGTTTTTTGGATGTTCATTTAGGTGTTCAGCGATATGACTGTGGGAGAAGGTGAGATGGTCTGTGTGGAGCTGGTGGCCAGTGACAAAAGCAACACCTTCCAAGGAGTCATCTTCCAGGGATCGATCCGCTACGAAGCCCTCAAGAAGGTCTATGACAACAGGGTGAGAGCCCTGCAGAAATATGGAAAACTATAGGAAAATAAAGTAATGGAGACTGATTTGGACTGATAATGAAATGTGTGACACATGATTAAAGCATTTAGGATCCACGATGGAGTGATGGGAAGCCGTTATAGAAATTGTGTATAAGGAAAGAAACTAAGCAAGTGGGAATATGTATTTTTCTTTTTCTGAATGTGTGCTTTTTTTTGAATTCAAAAAAGCATTAAAAAAAAGACAATGGGGTGAGAGCCCTTTTGGTGATGGTCACCTGCCTAGCTAGGTTGATACCTCACAGGTGACTGCACTAGGTATTGCTGCATTTGCCTCATTTATGCCTAAAGTGACTATTGGGAAGTGGGGTGCCTGTTTTCTACAACAACATGGGGGATAAATTTACCCTGGTCCCTTCCTCATTTTACCTTGTTGTTCTGCACTGCTACAACTCACTGGGAGAAAAGTGCTTATGTGGTCAGGGAGCAGGGAGGGTTCAGTCCCAGTTTACTCCTAAGCCTCTGACTCTTTGAAGGTAAAGCCAGAATTTCTTAAGGAGCCATAAACTGTTACTAGGAGAAGCAAAATCCACTTGAGTTCTCTTGGAAATGTGAAAGGTGTTTGAGTGTAGAAAACTCTCAGTCCAAATGCAGACTGTTGTACCAGCTTCATGCAAAAATGTTCTGTGCATTTCTAAAACTTTCTAGATTATCCTCTGTTTTTAGCCATGTGCCTAAATGGTTGTGTATAAACAAACCAGACTGCCTGGAGAATTCCATAGGCTGCCACAGATAAGGACCTCACACCAGTTGTCACCCACCTAATATCTGAAGGTGGAAGCTCCTGGAGCAAGATCACCAAAGACGACCTTTAATAAACAAACAGCTTTGTATGAAAGAAGGAAGTCCTTTAGATACAGTGCTGCCACTTTTTCTTTTTCTTTTTTAAGAGTTTGGTAGCTAAAATCGGCACTTCAAATTATATTCAAGACGTAAGTGGAAGGCAGTTAAGATTTTCTAGTGCAGACAAAATATTATCAGATATGCAAGTCCTGGTCCACAACCTGGTTGCTGCATTCTGAGCCAGCTGAAGTTTCCAAATGTTTTCAAGCGTTTGCCCACATTCAGTTATAGTTATTGAAACTGAACATGGCCAGAACATGGATAAGACTGAAAAGGGCATCTCTGCCCATAGAAGGCTGCAGTAGGTATACTGGCCTAAACTAGTGGAAAGTGCTTCACATATATAAAACAACAGTAAATGCAGACTTCAGAAACAGCAGACACAATAAAATGATCAAAATATAGATCAAAAATTTTTTTAAGCAAATGTAGATAATAAAAATACTTGTCTAGGTAAACAGAACTCTCTTTAGCAGGTGTCAATAAGGGTATGATTGTTCTTGCCAAATATGAATAGGCAGGAAGTTCCAGAGAAGAGGAGCTGCCACACTAAAAGGTGAAGTTCTTAAAAGCACGGAATGGACATTAAGGGACAGTTTTAGAAGTGCCAGTTCCACAGATCTAAATTATTATTAACCCCTGAGATAACAGAATGCCTCAACCTGGCACCTGAATGACAGCAAGGCAGGCATCAACCTTCCCTGGGCTGGGAATCCAATAACCAGTCTTACATTTTTACTGTTCGTTCTAGGTAAGCGTTGCAGCAAAAATGGCACAAAGGATGTCCTTTGGCTTTTACAAATACAATAATATGGAATTTGTGCGAATGAAAGGGCCACAAGGAAAAGGACACGCGGAAATGGCCGTGAGTCGCGTTTCAACTGGTGACACGTCTCCCTGTGGGACAGAGGAAGATTCAAACCCAGGTTCACCTCTACATGAGAGAGTGAGTTAAGTTCTCCAATCTTGGACTCTGGAGAACTCCGTTTGTTGAGGAGCCAGAAGTGTATCTTTGCTGTTCAAATCTACCTCTGTTGGGCAGGATGTCTGCGTCAAATAAAAACCAAAACAGTAGAAAGAATTCATCTTGCAGCTTTGGAAACCAGTTTGACTCTAAAGTGAAACTGTCAGAAAACCTTTAAATATCTCCTTCTCTGTTAAAGTTAGAGTATCTAAGTAAAATTGCCTTTGAAGTCCAGGTATGTCTTCTATATTGCCTGTTGGCAATCACTGTATTAAAATACTGGATATTTTGCATTAAAAGGTCAGCTGTCCCTAAATGGTCACTGTACATAAATGGTGGTTTGTTCATGTGTGTTTGTTCAGTAGCTAGAAGAATGCATTTTCAAAACAGTGTTCAGGAAGCAGTTTTTATATCCACCAGACTGCAATTCAGAGCAGATAACCATTGAATGAGGTTTAAAATAAAATACAATGTCAATCAAAACATAGAGCAGTCAAAATTATCTCATAACCTTCCTTCCCAATTTATTTCTGATTTTCTTCTTTCAGGTCACTTCATTCAGCACACCTCCAACTCCGGAACGCAACAACCGCCCTTCTTTCTTCTCCCCCTCCCTTAAAAGGAAAGTGCCGCGGAATCGAATTGCTGAAATGAAGAAATCCCATTCTGCCAATGACAGCGAAGAGTTCTTTAGGGATGATGATAGTGGAGGTGAGAGAAGAGTGATCTTGAGGCATGGCTGGGCTTTTGCTGCTGGTGTACACTGATGTCACTAAATCAGGCTTGGATTCTCTCAGCCCAACTGTGTGACACACAAAAATGAGAAAAGATGAACTAAGGTCCCATTGAGAACTAGAGTTCATGCCTTTACAAACTAAACTTAGATGTATTTTCTTATTATCATCACTTTGACCCATGGAACCTCCTAGTTGGATCCGATTGTGGTATTCACCACTGTGGAAAACACTACATTGTGGTGGGAGGTTATCTTGTGAGATTAGCAGGACTGGACAATAAATCTGCCTGAGGTTGCAGATCGCATGCAGGATAATGAGGTGACATTCCCGTTTCATATTGAAGGCGGTGGAAATTGCGTTTTTGAATGTTCCCTTACTTAAAAAGCTCTTTGCAAGTGGAAAACCAGCACAGTGGGGGAGGACAAGACTAGAACCTTTTCTCCCAGGTGTTGCTCGTTTTCTACTTGCAGGGAGCTTTTTAAGTGAGGGAACCTTCAGAAATGGCTTCCCACCCCCGAAATGCAAAATGTGTTGGTACAACTTACCATTGCAGAATTCTATCAACTCATTTTCTGTTGCGTTTGTGGGTCAGGTCTAAGGTGATGCAGAACAAGCTATTCTGTGTAGTGGGAAGGACTTTTGACTAACTGGCTTAGGAGCTTGAGGAAGATGGACTTGCTTAGAAAGACAATTGCCATACTTCATTCCTGATGATGGCATTGTAAATAAATCAGTGATAAAGGACATGCATTTAACTCAGAAAAGGTTCTACATTCTGCTCATGATGCCTCCAGCAACCGAATCACAGGGAACCAAGCAGGGAACTTCAAGGGTTTCCAAGTCAGAGAAGGTAGTATTGAGTTGAATAATGGGCTGATTTGTATATAAAACACACACAGCTCTTAGCTGTCACTGCTGAATGGAGCCTCTCCTGTTCAGAGGGCAGGATGCTTGTGATTGCTGGGTGCATGGCTGCGATATTCATCCCTTGTCTTGTGAGCTTCCCAAGGCAGTGTTGGCACATGGGGTTCTGCCCTTGAAGGGCCTTGTAGTCTGTTGGCTGGACAATGGTTTTGGGGGCAGTAATGTTTTGCTTACTTCCTGCAGCCTTGTTGTATCTTGGCAGATCTGCACAATGCAACAAACCTACGCTCGCGGTCTTTGTCTGGAACAGGAAGATCTCTGGTGGGCTCATGGCTGAAGCTAAACAGAACAGATGAAAACTTCCTTCTCTATGCACATCTAACCTACGTCACATTGCCATTGCATCGGATCTTAACAGGTGAGAAAAGCCTCATCCACATTTCAGAACAGGACAACCCTGACGCTCACCAGCAGCTTCTCCTGCACGTGCCTTGCTGAAATGAGTGGCAGGTATGGAGGAAGGTCTCCCATTCTGCATATGGGTGCTTGTGCAGGAGACATTCCCAGTGGAGTGTGCCCCTTCTGTCCAAGTGACAGTTATCTCAAAAGCGTGAATTAACTCTAAAAGGGAGCACAGCTGGGTAAGTTTTCAATAATGTACCAGTGTGAAGACACCCCAAACAACTGGAGCTGCTGCTGATCTGTCTGGCAAGTGGTGAAGAGAATTCAGCCATTATCTATTAAGCAATGAAGTGAGCTTCTTCTTCTGTTTCTTCCGGCACCTCCAGGAGAGTTTGAGCAGCCCTGGGACCACATAGAAGAGCCTGTGCTACAGCTTGTCACAGCAGTATTAACCCACATTCATGGAATTAGGGACATTGGCATTGGATCTGTACTGAGCTAGTTGCACTTCGATTCTGTTGAAATCAGTGTGAAAAATTAGTTATAATTCAAATTCCATTGCACTTCAGTGCAATTAATTTAGGGTTGCATCCAATGCTGCAATAGAGGTTCCTTTTCCTCTCCTCTCCTGCACACCCTCAAAACCTGCTTCGGTCTTTGGAGGATCCTCCAACCCTTCTGAGCAGAATCTGAAGGTGTACAGGGGAGAGAAGTCTCATTGTGCAAGCAGCACAGCAGGGCTGGATACAGCCCACAGCCAGCATCCAACTCACAATGTCTCTTGTTTTGATAGTTCAAAGCAATACCCCATTTTCAACCTCTGCCAATAGCCATTGTGCTTTGGATGGTTGTGTCTACAAGGTTTTAGCCGCAGCAGCAGCACCTTCATTTCAAGAAAGAAAGGTACATTTTCCCCATTAGACTCACCGCCCTTGATAGTCAGGGTGTCTTTGAATGTTTGTGTGTGCGTTTCAAATTTCAGCTTTTGTGACAGTGTGGAAGCACTTTAACCATTTAGGGGTATGTTTTGTCTACCCCCCAATTTCAGCTGAAAGGAAATAATGTTCCCCTCCTAGTTGTTGTTTTTTTAAACACTAAGCCAATGTTGAGTACATGTGGTTTAAAATGTGAGGGTTCTAGCTTACCGTATTTTTTTGCTCCATAAGATGCACCTGACCATAAAACGCAACTAGTTTTTAGAGGAAAACAAGGGGGGCAAAAATTCTGAACGAAACAGTGGATGTATGATTTTTGTGGTTCATGCTGTGGCCACAGACATGTGATCTGATGGTGAATTTGGGGTGACCCACCGCAAAAATCCTGAGGATCCCCCCTCCCAGGCAGCCTCCTTTATCTCTAGCGTCCCTTATCTCTCTTCCGATCCCACCGATTAGCTGTTTCCTTTCAACACTCCCTTCCCTCTTGTTTGCCTTAGTGTCTTTTCCTTAGCCAGAGCAGTTTTTTGCTCCTCCTTTTCTTCTAATTTCTCTCCTTATTGCTTTAGTCTTCCTGTTTCCCCGCTTTGCAAGTTTGCTGTCTTTACCTCCCCTCACCCAGGCAGCCTCCTTTATCTCTAGCGTCCCTTATCTCTCTCCCCGATCGGCAAACGATCAGCGGCTTTGTTTCAACACCCACTTCCCTCTTTCCAAAAAAAAAGCAAAAAAAAAAGCATGATCTGCTTTTTGCCCCTGGGCAATTCGGCTCCAGGGACCACACATTTGCTCCATAAGACGCACAGACATTTCCCCTTACTTTTTAGGAAGAAAAAAGTGTGTCTTATGGAGCGAAAAATACGGTATGTGGAAGCACCCAATGATTTCAAGATCTCTGCGAATGAGGCCCAAGCACCTTTACTCATTGAGATATTATAGCCAAAGAACTGTGGCCCAGAATCCTCACCACGATCCTGTCATCTTTCTTGTTTGCTTAGATATTCTGGAGGTGCGGCAGAAACCGATTCTGATGACATAGCAGAGAGCTGGGCACTGCCTTGGAAGCCATGCAGCCAAGTGCCTAAAAACAACAACTACAGTGCTCTTCTGTCACAGCAGCACCACCTAGCGTCAGAAACTTAACATAACACTGAAAAAAGGGATGTTTTGGGAATTACCAGCCAGCCATTCAAAAAGTGCCTCTTCCTCCCTCCCTCTGCTATACATACTATATACCCTCTTAAAAAAAATGAAAAAAAGACTACATCTCTTTATAGTTATGACTGGCAGAAATAACTTGACCAATAAAGAAGACAAAGGGGGAAATAAAGAACAAAAAGAACCCCCAACAACACAAAAGTTGGGGCTGTGTTTAAAACTATGCTTTATGAACCATTTGTTACAGTGTTTACTTCATAACTGAAAACCAACCAACCTGTACAGAATGTATTAACCTTTATATATTTCGAGAGAAATGTCCATAGGATTTCATACTGTTGTACCAATGAACTTCAATGAACTTCTGAGAGATGGTTGAGAACACTCCTTTGTTGCATCATAAAACAACTTTGTGTATGTGTTTTAAAGTTGATAGGGTAGCAGAATAGTATAAGAGCAAAGGGAAGTTAGGGACTTAGATGGAGCAGACCAAATGGAACTTGAAGTCTTGGTCTTTACGCTTCCCATGAGTGATACAGTTTTAAGGCTCACGTAGCAAAAACTGATTCCGCAATGACATCTTCACCTACCAAAGATCAGCAAAAAGTACCGCCAAAAAGGCTTGAAAGAGTGAGCTCAACACTTGGAAGAAATGTGCTAAATGTGATTTGGTTTCATTATGGCTATTACTTCTGGGAGCAAACCTGTCTCTAGTAGCATAGAATGTCTGCATATGAGAAGCAGGAAACACAAACCTAAAGACTCTAGTACCAAAAAACGCAGCAGACCTCAGCCAGTTACCACACCATTGGAAATTAAAACTAATTGAAGTGGGCTACTAGAAATCTTTTATACATCAAACTTTTCATTAGTACTATATAATGAAACTCGTTTTCCTGGATCTTGGTTCTGCTGATTCTGTGATTCGCTGTCCTTTGGTATACAGAAGCCTAATTATTTAAAATTCTCTAGAACACTTCTGTGACATTTTGTAAAAAGAAGGAAAAAGGAAACCCTGGCAAGGGCAGAGAGTTGGTATTTGTGGGGCGCTGATTGCAGAACCAAGTATGTTGCAGTTGTAGCAGAGGATGCATAAGACACTTACCTGTTTGCTTATAGCAAAGGTTTCACTCCTCTACAAACATAGGTACTGTTCTGAGGTGAGTTCTTTAAAAAGGTTCTTAAACTTGAGTTTAAAAGATCTGCCCATGGAGAGCATCTGTTGGTTGGTGCTTGTCTTGTCCTAAATATCCTTTCTCCTACCCACCCCCATTTCTCAATCCCCAAATAAGTTTTGCATCTGAAGTGTTTGTGGAGCAACATGACCATGTCCATGTCTGCTAATTTCTTTCTTTTCTTTTTTAAAATGATGGACAGCCTGAATAACTCACATGGGGAAGGATGGGCAGGGTGACTGTTCCAGTGTGCCATTTCCTGCTCTGTGTGATCATCATCCCAGTTGTGATGCTGGGAATGAGCCTGGATCTCCCCCTTAAGTGAAAAATCACCTGAAAGTGTTCTTTGGAATAACAGTATGGCTGCCTTCATCCTGAAATTCAGCTTGCTCAAACGGCTCCTTTAATTGTAAATCTCATTAACTGTCCTTTGTCACTGCCTTCTTACCTTTTAAAATAATGCATTATAGCCAAAACATGGATTAACAAGTCTGATTGGCAGCTATAAAGGGTGGGAAGAAAAAATGTGTGTGTGTTGAGCAGGGATGGGTGTGTGTTGAGCAGGTGTTTCTCTTTATTTTAAAAAATTAGTTCCATTTCTATTCTAAAGCAAATGCAACAAATATAGAGTATTCCTCTGGCAGAGAGAAGTCAGGAATATAAACAAGCAAGTGCCACTCAGATTCGTGAGATTTTGCTCTCTGTACGGAGATTAATACCATGGAACACAAACCCTGGACTACTATTTTTCTTCCTTCCACGACTACTTTTTGTCGTGAACTTTACCTATGGCATTAAGTAGTTCAGCCTATCAAATGCAACTATTTCTTTATATCATGGATTGTTCCCCTTGCAGTTGTAATTGAATACTTGTTGTGGAATCCCTCTTCCTGCTGAATCCTTTGCTTCCCTCACTCTCATTCCTGCACTGAGCCACTTCGCTTGCACCTTGCATGCTCACCTGGTCATGGACTGAGTTACTGCAGGTGAAACAGGGGCTGTTGGGATGTTCTAACATGTTAAGGGGAACAGGAATGACCAAAGCCTTTCCTGCACACACAAAAAATCAATGTGTCGGGGGCAGAAGTTAGCCACCTTCTGAACTACTCTGTACGTGGCAGGGTTTTATTGGAGACATTAAGACACAAAGTTCTCTGCCTACTTACTTGGTATAGCCAAGAAACAAATTGTGTGTGGCTGCTGATTGTATATCTTAGCTCTTAAAACTGGTGCTTCCTTAAAACAGCAGTTGCAAACAAGTGACAAAAATTGTTATAAAATAACCTTACCACCACTGTGGATTTTTTAAAAAAACACACACAAAAACCTGGAACGTCCACCATGCTGGAACAAAGTACACTTGCACGTTACAGCAAACAAGGTGCTGCTGCCAAAAATGGCCTCTGTCACTTTTCGTACTACTTTTCCTGCTGCAACTCAAGTTCTGAATTTCCCTGCCCCTCATCCTAGGTGAAATGACATGTTATGTGGAAGAGGTGAGAATATGAAATGGGAATACCTTAAAACCCCTGCCAAATCAAGAATGCAGTTAATGAGGGTAAAACAATAGGTCCACATTCATTTCCAAACTCACAGTGCAGTCCTGTATGCATGTTTCCTTTGAGGTGAGCCCCCCATGTTCAGCAGGGCTTAATCCTAGGTTAGTGTGCATCAGATTGTAGCCTTAAGATAATGTAATTCAGAGGCAGCCTGGTGACTTTAATGCAAGTCCCACTGAACACATCAAAAGGGGGGAGGGATTCTTTAGACTGAGCATTCTTGGAAAAAAATGCAACTGAAGTCTTAATTGTTCATTTATTTTTTATTATTCCTCATTAAACTGATCAGAGATGGATATAATCCGTATCTTTTTCAGGCTGCCATTGTACATGTAGTTCTTCAGCAAAATGGCTACCTACAGTTCTTACTACATACACCTTTGAAATTCAAATTGCCGAAAGATTAAAAGGGGAAGAAATCATCTCACTCCTAGAGGCATGTTTAAATTTTCCAAGTTTTGCAGATTAATGTCAGTTTTTGCTTAGAGCGGGGTTACTCCTCTACCAGCTGTTGTCATGCTAAACCTCAGAAAGTAAAGGCTAGACCACATTGTGCTGGTGAGGCCTGTTTCAGTCCCCCTAAAGTGGCTTAAAGAGCTGGATACATAGAAACGTAAAGATGCTCCCATGCCCACATATTTCTACTGAAATGCCTGGGGCTGATCCGGAGGCCTTTCTGTATGTCAGGTTCATGCAGCAGTGGGGATACGATAACAACCACCTCTTGCAGGGGTTGTGTTTAGGTATAAATGTTGGACTGTGGTTGGGCTGTTGCCAGCCTATTCTGTGCCTTTTAAAATCCAGCTCTATATGTAAAATCTAAATTTCAAATATCTCTGTGATTATATGTGAACATAATGTGCAGCTGTACATAGCTGGGTTTGAAGGACTTTAATGACACAAAGAATCCCCTCCACCCTAAATTTATGCTGCACTCTCTTGAGAAGTGTTTTGTGGGCTGAGCCACTTAATGCTCATGTTTGGAAAAGTGTTGAGGCAGCTTTGCCAAGTCATTGCTCTACCCCTGTTCCTTTATAGGCACTGGTCGTGGGCTGGAGGCTACACCTGTTTCCTTGTACTGGCTTACATCATCTTTAGAGCAGGGCCAGGCAGAACGTCCGTCAGGGTCTCCTCATACTTCATTCACACTACATAAGGGTTTCGGATTCAAAAGGAAGTAAAAAAAAAAAAATCTGTCATGACTGGTTGTATGCTAATCAATTATTTATTGCATTTATTTGTCACTTTATAGAACAATATCTCAAAGCAACTTTGCAGCTACATAAAATACCTAACAGCAAAACCACATCAGGCCAGTGACCCATTTAGATCAGCATCCTGTTCTCACAATGGCCAGTCCCATACTTGTGGGAAGCCTGCACGCAAGACTAGAGCACAAGAGCATCTCTCCTGCTGTTTCCAGCAACTGGTCTTCAGAAGCATTTTGCCCTGGAGGCAGAATATCACCTTTGTGGCTAATAGCCATTAACAGTCATCATCTCCACTAATTTTTCTAATCCCCTTTTAAAGCCATCCAAAGGGAGGTTGGCGGAGCCTTCCTGGATGCTTTTGACCAGATCTTTGCACAGCCCTGCCCAACATAGTTTTAAGAACCTCAGAACTGTAGGGACTCTGATAAAGATTTGTACTGTTACTTGCTGGTTACCTGAGTGTTTTTACATCAACAGATGCAGCTGAAAACTGACTGCTTCAGTTTGTCAGGCTAGAGAAATGCCTTGAAGGGAACAGGTTCCCTGCCCCTGCTGTATATACTGGCACAAATCCCATTTGTGCCAGAGGCAAGTCTGTCTAGTTAGACACAGCCTTAATTTTTATTTACTACCAAACATCAGCCAAACCACTTCGTAATTTACATCTCAATGTTTCAGCCCACCCCCCTGCTGCCTTCAGACGGTGTGGTCTGCTTTTTCTAAGTGCTAGATCAATTTTTATGGTTAATGTTAAATACCTTAAATGAACTATTCAGTTACCACAGGGCCTTATTCACCCAGGCGTGTTCAGTACTTTGTACGCTGGAACACTAAATGGTTTTTCTGTCTGTCCACCCGAACTGCAACTTTAGTATACCCTCCTATGAGTAAGAGGGCAGTCTCCTTAGAGCAACGATGTAAATTTAAGCACTCCAGATAAGCTCACTTGCTACCTTCAGCAGCTAGTGCATAGGCAGAAGAAACTCTTGCACTCAGATTTCTCAGTAAAAGAAATGAATTCAGGTCATAATGAGATGCCAGAAATGCGTATGAGCAAAATATCCAACAGTGTCTGTGGATTCTGTGGATTTGTTGATTATAAGGCACACTAGAGTCATTTCAACAGAGACCAGTGAGCGGTGAGAACTAGGCTGCAGAGCGTTAGGTGGTAGAAGATGGGTATTGCCCTCCGTTGACTCAGTTCCCCCAGCACTAGGGCTTTGCTTTCTACCACTGAGGTGTTTGTGAAAGCCATTTAGGAAAAGTGGTACACTTTGGCCTAAGGTGGCTTCCTGGTGACTCTAACAATGCAGAACGAAACCTACTCTTACCTTTATAGCCCACTTGTGGGATCTGTTTCTTGATCACATTGGGGTTGGAGCTTTTTAAATGTTAATTCTTTCCACTGTATTAGAATATCCTGTATTGGAATCAATGGCAGGTAATTTAATTCATATAGAATGGCCTCCTAGCATCAAAGAGGTACTTCACTGCACAGACACTGTGAATGCTCTTAATAATCCTTATGGTGATAACTGAGGAACAAGCATTCTTGATTGCTATCACATGGGAAGCACACAGTAGCCTTCCCAATTGTTATTTTTTGAAAGCAGCCTTTGGCTATAAACCTAGTTTTGTGCATCTCTCTGACCTTTGTCACATTGTGACTGCCTTGGGATCCCTGCTCCATGAGGCCAGCCTTCCCTCCCATCAGGGGTGATGGACAGGATTTATCTTAACTACAAACAGTGCATTCCTTTCCTTTCTTAAATATGAACAGATGACCTTCATTTATACACCTGAAGCAGGGCAAATGTTGATTCTAGCATCTAACAGAATGCTAAGAACTGTTCTTTTATGCAAAGATATATTCAAGCTGCTAGTCAACATGGAAATGCCTTTCAGTACCTTTCAGAACTTGAACATCATTTGCCAATTTCTTTCTTATTTTTTAAAACCTAAATTTCTATGGAGAAATTGACTCCCAGAACAGTTCACAATAATTCAAATCCCAAGCAAAATGCAATTCAAATAGCTACAATAAACATCAATATGAAAACCATGACAGCACAAAACCAATACCTCCTGCAGTCAGTTCCAGAAACCACAATTTAACATTCTAAATACCACTAGTCTAGGTAGAGAGATCTTAAGAACTGTCTTAGGATGTTAATCTGTTGCTGTTGGATCCTGCTTTTTCTTTCAGGCTGCAGCTCTATACACAAACACACTACAAAGCACCATGGTGCATCGAGGGACTTACTCCTGTATAGACATGCATTAGATTGCACCATCCAATTACATTTCTGGAATGAGTGTTGATTTTGGACACTGCCCCAGAGAGGGCCATGAGGCCCAGTGACTCAGTAGAGCAAAGGTGGGAACAATTGTGCCCCACGCCAAAGAGGTTGTTGGACTCATCAGCCCCAGCCAGCATTACCAGTGGTCAAAGATGATGGGAGCTTGAGACCCTGTTTGTGGCTTTTAAATGAGTCCACACAGAATCAGATGGGAACCAAGCCTTGACCTGTTTTATCAATGGAATGCCATCTAGAATGGGTATTAGGAATGTTTGTCTCATCATATCACCATCAAAGTCATAGGAACCAGTTTCTCTCTAGTACTGCCCACACAATTATATGTAGATCAAACAATTATAGTGCTTTCCTGGGCCCAAAAGTGCACATTATCCCATTGAGATGAAATATGATGTAACTTTTTTGACCACAGTGGTTTAGAATCTGCCCAAGAAATTAGCTGCCCGTAGTCAGTGCTCATTCACCATTGAATTTATTACACTTAAGGCAACAGCAACTGAAAGTGTACAGTGGAATAAACTGCCTATACTCATACTCTTTAAATAGTATTTTGTACACTAATTGTAATTACAGTGAGAGGCCAAGATAAAGAGACTGAAATGACCACTGTGGTCCTCCTGCTTCAGATACTTTATGTATGATCAGATAAACATGTTGCATGGTTTCTGCCTCAGTCAGCTTTGTGCTATAATTTTTTTACAGCTATGTAGCTGAGCCCACTAAGCAAGGAAAATGCAACAGGAACACTTTTGTACGTGAGGAAAAAACAAATATTACATACGCCTATGATGAACAGTGACTGCCAATAAATTATTCTTAGAAACATTATGCTAAGTGTGTGTGTATGCTGATTTGTGAGAAATTATTCAGAAGTCCATGCCTACAATATGGGCCATGGATTCTATGTTGTTCTGTGATGGATTCTATCATGATGCTGACTGTGATCATAAAAACTGAACTGCGGACATTCAACATCTTGATCATGCTGGAATAAGCAAGCAGTAAATTTTACTACTACATCCAAAGTAGCAAAAACCCTGGAGCCAAAAAATTGCACAACTAGCTCTGCATCTGCAAGTTTTGGCCTTTGCATTTCTTGGGCAGCTGCATCAACCTGGCAAATCTATCAAAATTGGAAGGTTTTTTTTTTTAAAAAAAAGCATGAGTATTTGGCATTGAAAAGAATCAAGTAACTAGTCACACCACGCCTTTTTGGTGTGCCAAGGTAGCATTTAAGTCCCAACAAACGAGAGGAAAGCTAAAATGTCATATACAACAAGGGTAAAAAACAATTCAACTTAATTCAGTACAGTGGTATCTCCAGTTACGAACTTAATTCATTCCGGAGGTCCGTTCTTAACCTGAGGCGCGCTTTCGCTAATGGGGCCTTCCGCTGCTGCCGTGCTGCCGGTGCACGACTTCCGCTTGCATCCCGGGGCAAAGTTTGCAACCTGAGGTACTACTTCCAGGTCAGCAGAGCTCATTACCCGAAGCATTCATAAGGATGGTACATAACCCAAGGTTCCACTGTATGTATATCTTGGGTAAGAAGCACCTATCAGATTGGTCCCAATTGGTTGTTTCTCAAACACAAACACTTCCCACAATTTAAGGCTATGCCCAACCTCAGGCCCTTTATTATTTTGAATACAACTCCTATCTCCCCTGACCATTAGGCATGCTGGTTGGGGCTGATGAGGCACTGGGTTGGCAAAGGCTGGCTTAGTTCTGGCTAGAGTATATTATCCCTAGGACAGTATGCCTGTGGGTCTTCACCTCCTGCAACATGAAATTCAAGTTGTCATATGTATGCATCAATATTAGACAAGTATATGGTAGAAACATCACTTTAGAATGCTATATTCTGAAATATATAAAATTAAGTTAAATGGCAGTGGGTTTTTCTAACTTGCACTTCTTTTGCTTCTACTAATGACAGTGAGTTGTGTCCCTGCCTGACCCCTGCAAATCACTAGATGACAAATAGATTATCTATACTCTTTTCAAACTTCTCCAGAGCCTCAGAAACCATTTTTTCTTTAAATTAAAGCAGAACTGTAGTGCATTGTGTGAGCTATGCAATACCACAATGCAAGAAATCACCAGTGCATGCTGTGGCTAGACATGGTAATTTAGCAATTCTCAGCACCATTAGTATAAGATTCTATTAAATAATTGAATCCATCTATTACTAAAAATCTTGCTTCATACTCCAGCAATACTACCCCCCCCCCCTGCAAAAGAAGTCAAGGAACTACATTTGCTTCAAAACGGTCTTGTAAGATGAAATACTTTGGTAAGTCTTCAGCGCCCTCCTCATTGTCAAGGCAATAACACTCCTGATCTTTCTGCAACATCTTCTGCAAAGGAAGAAACCTAGAACTTAAACCAAGTGCCCCAAAGTGGACTCTCCCAAGGACACCCAGTCACTTCACTGCAATTCCCACAGGCTACTTCAATTTACCTCCAGAGTGAGCGGGTCCAGGCCACGTGCGGCAGAGCAAATGGAACCTCCCCTCCTAGCAGCGTGAGCTCCATTTATCAAATGTTAGGTCATTAAGACGCTTAACATATGAAGCTGCCTTTGACCACGACTGACCATATCCCCACACTGGCTATTCAGCTTCTATCCAAGGCCAAAGGCAGAGGGCTCTGCTAGTCCACCGTCTTTCCTGAACTGGAGGGGCAATGGACTGAATGTGGATCCTACTGTGCTCTACGACCAAGTTATCACCCCCGACCATTTCATCTTTACCTGGCTGCACTGACCCTGACCATCTTCGCCACCAAGCCCAGGAGGTAGAATGCAAACATGTACAGATCGAAGTTCACACATCCTATTGGTTTATTCACATTTCCATGGATTTTTATACATTTCCTTAGAAAGAACTACAGCTAGCAAATGGACATGTGAAAAATGATAAAAGGCAAGTCCCAATTCTTGTTTAGCCTTTCAGATGGCGTCCTATGAGATGGGGAACAAACAAAAATGTTGACAGTCAAATGGAAAGAAAGGTTCATGTCGATTGTTCAGATAGCTGTTCATTAAGCTGTTCATACATGGTTTCCATGCACTGTGAAATTTATCAAATGTTTACATTTGTGGTATACAGTTTAGCAACTTCTGCTAAAAATAACTTAAGGCATTAGACAGAACAGTTGTCAAATTACATTATGTTGCAAAGGGAGTTAAAGCAAGATGCAATACAGTACTTATTGCTCCTTATATGTAGCGACATATTTTCAGTTTACAAACTACTTGTAGCAGATTGAGAACAGAGCAAAAGTAGCCAAATATTCTCCACACCCCTTCTATACAGGATTTTGATGACAAACCTTTTGAAGAATTAAAAAAATAGAGAAACAGCACACTCCCCAAACAAGTTGAGGTTTGCCCTAGTTCTCCCTTGAGTGGCAGGCCTGCATCTGGACTGAGTGGCAGACGGGGCTCATGTAACAAAACACTCTTTCCTACAAAATAATTCCTTCTGCACAGAATTCTGAATTGTCAGGGAGAAGGCTAGGCTACAACCATTCTACCCAACGTGAATCCAATCAAGAGAACCCCTGCCTGCAGTCTGAAGAGATGCAGGTCAGACACCAGTGACCAGCTCAGTGGCAGCTAGGCCTTTAATCCTGTCATTCCAAGAGAAAACTATGCATGTGCAAAGCAGCAGTACCTAATAAATCAGTAGATGGACTTCTTTAGACTCTCTACTTCTGTCAAAATGTAAAAATGATTTTGCAAGTTTGGTTGGCAATCTTGCAAACAGGCAACAGGCGAACAACAGTCACTTAAATCCTACAGCAATATAGTCAGACTACAAACACTGTCTACAAGGCGACAAGTGATCAGACTGCAAATTAAGACACTGCCTTATTGTTATGCAGCAAGTATCAATAGACTTGATTAAGATTTTTAAATATAATTAAAGCTACAATTTTGTGCAAAAGAAAAATGATCGTCCAGTTTTATACAGCCTTTTAAACTTACTCTGAGAGTAAAACCAACACACAAAAATGAGATCTTACCTTTCACAGCAGGAGCAAGCCAACATGATCAACATCAGAAACCTACAAAATGAAGTCTATGCACATTCTCCTTCTTTCTTAGCAAGCCAATTTTGATCCACTTAGTAATTCAGATTGTTATTCTTGTAATAATTTTTATTATTGAAAGCGATGGGCCAATCACAAAGTCAGCACTTACATTTAGGATTTAAAGTCTGCTGGTTTATGCATTTGTTTTGTGTATCTATGACTGCCTTCTCCACCCTGGTGCCCTCCAGGTTTGGACTACAGCTCATATGAGCTCCATCCAAAACCTACTAGATGGGGCTGCAGCCTAAGAATCTGGCAGTGGACAGGTTGCGGAAGGCTGATGGAGCTTTCCCCAAGAGGGTGTGTGAAAGGCAGTGCCTGGTAAGCTTTCGCTACATCATGTCACAACCCACACAGGATGGCCAGGGTGCACCCACAGCAGGGATCTTCACATTTTTATGCAGCAGTTCAAAGAGGTGCAGGAAATTCCAATGCATTTCTGGAATGCCTTCCTCAGCAGCAGCAGTGTGAAATAATCCCATTTTATGCTTGCTCTAAGAAAGAAGTAACTGACCACTTTCCATAACACAACCACTTTCAAGCAACACCTTTTGACCAGCTCTTGCAAACATTTAATGGACGTTACGATTATTCTTTCATGCTGCTTTTAACTTTGAAAAGCAACATGCGCACTCTGGATTTCTTACAGAAGCAGCATCACATAAGACATAGCAAAAAAATTATGAGAACAAACTGCATGTCAATGAAATGCTATTTCTTATTCTACTCAGTAACTGAAAAATTGTTACATATACACAGTTGCACTTTAGGAATCAGACAAGTGCAAAATACATAGCATACCTGTAATATTAACAGTCTCTCAATGTTAAAATTATATTAGAGGAGGGTGTGGGAACAGGCTATCTGCTTTCTAGAAAAAGAGCAGGCTGTTTGCCCAGACACAGGGGAGTAAACAAAGCTCACTGAGGATTTTTAAGACACTATTTCTCAAAGACAAGAGCACACAATATTACCGAAGCTCTTGGCCATTCAACCTGAGCCTCTAACAGTAAGACTGGACTCCATATGCATGTTCCCATTTATAATATTAACATGCAAGTTAGCATTTCTGATTGTTCACCATCTTGAATGCTAAAGAGAACAATCCAGTGTGAAGCTCATTAGCCCAAACCTCACTAACATAAATGGTAACTCCGATTTGTTTTAATGGGGATTGGGTCAGATTACTCCTTGCTGGACTGCACCCCAAGATATTTCAGTGTGGGGTGCTGAACTCTTGAAATACTCTCACACTTACTTTTTAGGAAGTCCAACACTTAAAACTTGATGCAAAAAAGGCACCAATTCATAATCAATACGGGTCCTGCTTCCACAGCATCCCAGCTCCCTTCCAGTTTTAAGGTACGACTAGAACTTTAAAGATTCAGATGTTTCGGAACCTATGATAACCAATATTTGTGGACTGGTTATGTGTGGCTTTACTAGCGACTGCTACATTAGTAAGACAACTATTTAAATAGCAGGGTATTCACGGTCTGACTGCTGATCCCGTTAAATGCACACTGGCGCACACCCAAAATAGTGTGGGCACAATTCACAGCTCTCTTGCACAAGCCCCTTGACATTAAAGGGGACTGTACAGAATTTTCAAGCCTGAAGATAAGGCTTTGGCAAGAGTACAATGGAAGAAAGTCCATCAAATACCTCAACACAAGATGCCCCAGGTTTGATAAAATCCAAGAGACAGGATTGGATTGAAAAAAATATAGCCATGCTACCTTTTCCCTCAGTTGTTTCTCTAGGGAATGAGAAAATAACAACCTGCAACTTTGGCCTTAAAAATCAGGGTACTGATTTTTAACAGCTGTTACTAAAACACAAAAACTATACTGTTCAGTTTAAAACATTTGTTCCTTCAACATAATCTGAACTGTGATTTCACATTTAGGAGAGGATTTCAATTCAAACTTGGATGCAAGATAAAGAAGTCTGTCAAATTTCTTTCCACCCACACAAAATTCTTCCTACACAATTTCCGGTGTAGTATTTTACACCATTTGAGTATAAATCAGTTTTATTCTGTATAATAAAAATGTTTATTTTTTGATATGCAAGTTTTCTTCAAATATGGTTCATGCATTAGATATTCAAATTAGAAGGGAGGAAGAATTGACTCTTGTGTCAAGTTAAAAGCTTTTATTGGCCATCTTAGTTTCTTTCCCTCACCAAAGCTCTTCAGAGTTCCTAAACAGTCCTTAGAATGTCAGAAGTGGTTTAAAAAGTTACTAGCAGAGTCAAGAGAGGGGAAATGAGCAGCAGCAGTTTGGCAAGTTTCGTCTGTAATTTTCAACAGCCCAGATTTTTAGACCTCCTTCTTCTCCAGTAAAATTTTGTGCAACTCATCTGCATCCTGACTTGTTTTCACTCTTATCAATATAGGAACAGGGACGGTAGCATTCTTCTCATCAATGGGTGGATTTGGAACACAGACAATGAGCACGTTGTTCTTCCCTGTTCTGGAGCATGGCATCTTAGGAGGCACCAAAATGTTCAGCAATATGTTGCCTGCAACAGAGTGGAAGTTGGGAAAAGAGCAAAATAAATACAAAATATGAATGTCTAGGTAGTAGTATGGTGACCTGAGGTATGAGAAAATCAGGTGTTACTGATCCACCTAGCCAACCACAGGCTGTTCCACCTGGCAGTGGTTCTCTCAAGGTCTCAGCCACAGCTCCTTGCTACAAGAGATGTTTTTATCTGGAAAAAGCTTGTGCTCTGTTACTGACTTACAAGCCTCCATTATTTCCTCAACTCATTTCCTCACCACATTAGCTACTATTCCTAAAAATGGGCAAGATCTCATTGTGTTAATACTTAGCAATTAAAAAAGAAAAACAAATTCCTGAGATCCAGTGGCCAAACACTACATGGTTGATAAGCCAAACTTGCAATAATGGCTGTCAGTGCTGGTTTGCATCAAGATTCCAAACACAAATAATTTGTGAAGTCATCCAACTATGTGCTAGCAACTGCACACATCCAACTTGGGACACAAATCACAGCCACTGCTAGATGTGCCTGTTGTTTACTTATGTGTAAAATTCTACACAGTTGTAGGCATGAGAGCAAAAAAGGACCATCATAAATATCTTAATTATTTGAAAGAAGCCAGAAGCCTTTGACTTAGCAGTGGCTTGGAAGTTTACTGAACTAATAATAATAATAACGTACCTAAGTTGGTATCTGCCCGTACTAATAGCTGAATCTTCTGATTTCCTGCATGTTTTAAGTGTAGCGTTCCTATACCTTTTTCTTTAAATTCATTATCTTTCTTGTAAAAAACTTTGCACCTGAAAAAAGGAAACATAGACAAGATTCATTTTACAGAATGTGCATGAATGTGAAAGGTGAATAAAAGCCTCCAAATAGCTTGTATGTGGCAAACACCAGCATGCAAACAAATAATACATTTAAACTCAGGCTGGAACTAGCCAGACTAATAGTCATATAAATAGTCCTTCCAGAAAATAAGTCTTTGCAACATGATAAAACTATTTGTTAGAATCTTCCAGAGTATACCAAAAATAATGGCCAAGATTTAAAGAACCATGAGCTCAAGGGGGCCTCAGATTTACTCTGAGAAACAGCAGCCCCCCAGCTGCACATAAAACTGCCTTTAAACACATAAAACTGCCTTTAAACTTTAGAGTGTTTTAAAATGAGCTCCTGACAAAAAGACTGCAGGTCTTTGGGTGAGACAAACACTAAGCAGTTCTTTGAGTCACTCTGTGCCAAAACAGAGGCAACCTGTAACTTGTACTCCCTGGAATTATCAAAGTTTGAACTCCAGTATATAAAGAGATACAAAATAGCTTCGGCAAAAGAAATTTCGTTTAGTTTGTAGTTGTAATGCACTATAAACTGCTAAAGACTTTTACTCACACATACAAAATTAGGGGGGAAAGCATACTGAACTCTCTACAGTAAGAGCATGATCGTGGTAATAGTATCAAAGAATACAACTCACTTCTTTGAGTAGAAGGCATCATCTTCCTTTATTTCATTCACTACTGCCTTTGGTGGCTCCTCATCTTCTTCATCACCCCCTGTAGGAAGAATAATTTCAGGTAAGTGTTACGTATATACAAGAAAAGACACTGCAGTACATAAAAATCTTTTGATGTTTTAAAAATACATGGGGATATTAGATATCAGATACAGCTACCTGGTTCACATGGCATAAAGCCAAACTATGGCTTGACAAGGAGCAACTCACAAGTGCTTTACTTTTCCTCCGTTGCTCCACAAACAGCAGCTAAACCATGGCTTGGCGTTGCATCCAAACCTGGGCTCATGGCTGGCCTTGCCCCAGACAGCTGTGACCTGAAACCAAGGTCTGTTTGTGGCTTACCACTCACCATTGCTTGTTTGGGGAAAACAAACCATGAGCTCAAGGTTCGGCCATAACACTAAGCCAAACCATGGCTCAGCTTCTGGTTGCATGTGAGCAAGATCACAGTATGTCTAAAAAGGTAGGGTCATCAGTATAAAATATATTTCTAAAAAATCTTCAAACAATGTGCTAGAGAGAAAGAAGTTACAGATATTAGCAGGGGTCAGCAACCTAAGGCCCATCGGCCACAAGCGGCCCACAGGGTCATTTAACCGGCCCACGAGCTGCCCCTGAACCGAGCCACCTGCTCAGCGAGTCCCTGCGTGCTGCACTAAACCGGTGCAGGGACTTGCTTCCGCGGCGCCGGAAATCGCGTCTGTGCATGCGCAGACGCCGGAAATTGTGGGCGCACATGCTCACGCAATCTGGCCCACGGAGGGATCTCCGCTGGAGTGAACTGGCCCAGGGGAGGTAAACCTTCCTTGCCGACCCCTGGATATTAGAATATATTTTAAGCTGTGCTGATTAGCACTAATACTGCTGCATTTCCCTTCTACTTCAACACTTACATTTATAAGCCTTGAACATTAAAATATGGCTTATAAGCTTTCTACATTTCTTAAAGAACACTCTTGATTAAAATTATCTACTTGAACTGTAACTTTAAAAGCTTATTTTATTTTTTCCTAATTGCCATAAAGTAAATAACAAAAAGGTTTATATATATATATAGAAAGAGAGAGAGAGAGATTCTTTGTAATAAATAACACACCAACTATCTGACTTTTAGAAGACATCTGAAGGCAGCCCTGTTTATGGAAGTTTTTAATGTCTGATTTTTTTATTGTATTTTTAATATTTTGTTGGAAGCCGCAGTGTGGCTGGGGAAATCCAGCCAGATGGGCAGGGTATAAATTATTATTATTATCAATTATTTATTTTTTTAATTAAAATTACCATCATCATCATGTGACAGGGCAGTGGAGGTGCTCTTACCCTTTTCCTATCCCCCAACCCCTACTTAACCCAATCTATAGTTAAGGTTATTTAAATGGAAGGGGAACCAAAGCAGGGCTTTCAATAATTTCACCTACAAACATTTGTTATGGAAGTTTCAAAGTAGAGAAAAGCAGCGCAGATTGCTAGTAAAGCACCAAATTCTGTTCAAAGTCACCCAATACTAAAAGGCATTCCTGCAGGGGTCCATAAGTTTTAGCTGGCCTGGGCAGCCAGCTATTATTTGTAATCCTCAGTGACACCCTTTCCTAGAGTCCTCTGGCATGAGAAACAGATTTCTAGGGGGTCCAATTCTGCATATCAGCAGGAAGCTCACCAGATTTCAATGAAACATGGGACTGAATCCCATTTCTCAACTTCTAAAACAATAAATGTTTACCTTTATCTTCATTGCCACCACTTTCTGTCTGAATATCTAGTGCTTTGCTGGAAAATGAAGAAACAACCTTGCCTTGGCTTGTATCTTTTCCAAATAAACTTGCACTTCCAGGAGAGAATGAGAAACTAGGTAATGCACCAGAATTCAGACCAGAGTTGTCTACGCTCTTGCTAAAAGTAAAGGAGACAGTTGACATAGACCCTAGTTTTGGTTCCGTTTTCTTTTCCATTTCTGTTTTCTTTCCTGGTGCATTCTCAGATTTGTTGCTATTGAAGAAAAACGTTGAACTCTGCTGAAGATTTGGACTCCCAAATGCAGACCCAGGCTGAGTTCCAACTGTCTTGTTACTGTCACTTTCAGAACCGCTGTCACTACTCATTCCGCGTTGCTCTATCTCAGCTAAATATTTCTCATAGTCTCGGAAAATCGGCGACAGGTCACAGAGTGGATTGGCATTTACATGTTTTACTATCCAGTCACGCACCGAACAATTTAGAGCGGCTAACTGTTTATGATAAGCATCAGGGCTGCATGCTTTGTTCTCAGTGAATCCAGAGGACAAGGGCTGCTGGCTCTCACCATTTGCTTCCACACTTACAGGCTTTTTCTCAGTTACAGTATTATTCACTGAACCACTGGACACCACAGAACCTATTAGAAAGAAGAGCATTTTATGAACTTTCTTTACAATGTTGTATGCATACATAAACCTAACCTGAACCCATTTCTAGAATGCATTCCCCCCCAATCTATTTACTGAATTTGTTCTACTGATTTGTTCCCGGTAATGCCAATTTTTTAAATATATCTATATCTATCTATCTATCTGGATAGCTGTACCATCGTGAGACTGGGAACCAGAGCTCTGTTCCATCATGATATTGGGGTCAATATATTTGTTAATGTATCCACTATGACCCCAAGGTCTCATTGCCAACCAGCCAGAGTCAGTTCAAGCTCCAAGAGCAAATAGGTGAAATTAAAATATTTTGCCCAACTTAGAACTTTAATGGGTCATTTGATATAAATGTATCAATTTTATGTGTGAAGGAAGTAGTTGTTCAAGAAGACGAAGAAATTATCATTCATTTATTGCAGCACTATGATAGCAGAGCAAGCATGGAAAAAGTCAAGAGATACCAAAGGTGGAAGACTGTCTCATAAGGAACTTGGACACTGCACAAATGGTCTAAATGAGCAATGTATTCAGGGTAGGACAGACCAGCCCTCTTCATAACTTACTGAAATGAAAAAATGAATGACACTATAAATCCTTACGTGCTCCTAGGCAACATATAACAAGAAAAATATATGTGCTCCATACGATAACGTGCTATTACAATAATATATTATAATTTAACTTAATAATGGTAAAATATGAGTATATGTGTGTATAATAAAATATATACAATATATCCAGATATAGATGCCTATGAACACTTAACTACTTTCTAACACAACCTAAATAGCCTTGGGGACAGAAACAAAAATATGTAGTAATTGGTATGTTCATATATGTGCAGATCTCTTGAGGGGGGAATGTGGGGGAAAATAGTGCAACTTTAAAGATGTGATAAATGAACAATAGGTAAATAATCAGCTTATGTAAGTGATTTATATACTGAACAACCAGAATGTTTGGCTCATATTTAACCATGCATGGATATGTGATATTTTTTTTTGCCCAACAGCTTTTTGAAGCACACAATGCCAAGTGGATGATCACCTCCATCTATATGCTTGTTGATATGAGGGCTGGATGTGACACATACTTACACAAACCTTTCAGCTCCCTTAATATCATTAAAAGCATTTTTACAAGTATCGTCTGATGAGAAAATTTTACTGGTGAACTTACTAAATGTAGTAGTTGTTTCAGCAGCAGTCTTTAAATTGGTGAACGATGAGCTATTTGCAATGCTGCCGCCGCCATTGGATAGCCCCCCTAAAGGCTTTGTTCCGGTGCCATTGCCAAAGCCAGAAAATCCTCCACCTCCAGACGGCAAAACAAAACCTTTAAAACCTTTAAAAGCTCCACCACTCTCAGCCTGAAAGAGATGTAAAACAGTTATCTCACTTTTCAGCTGTATCCCCACAAAGTCCCATCAGTATGATTATGTTAATGTCCACCCATACAAAATCTTTGCTTCCCTTATTCAAGGTAAATATTCTACAGGACATATTATATTTGGTCCCTGTCTGATTCTCACACACATATTCATCAAATGATGAAATGTATCATTCCAAACATCACTGGAAACTAAGTATGGAATGTTCTTATCACCAAACATTAAGAATCTTTTCCATGAAGACAGTTCAGACATTTGACTTGCCTTTAACCCATGGGTACCAATGAAGTGTACATGTATGTGTGGACCAGCCAATATATGTTGAGCCATTGTGAAATTAGATTCACTATCACAAGACAAATGGTATCTTCTGATTAAAGAAAACCCAACCCATGTGGACAAAACCTGAGCGCTCAGAGTAATCACTGAAGGGCTACCCCCACCCTTCAATATTGAGAGCAATCAACAGTAACACACACATTAACAAACAAAGGCTTGGCTTCGCATGCAAGGTGAGACCTTAATCATGAGTCCTGGTTCACATGACAAACTAAGCCAAACTTCGGCTTAGCTCAGTGTGGCAGTAAAAAGACCATGGAGGAACAACGTGGCTGCAGGCTTCTTTCTGTGAGCCTGTACATTTGTGAGATCCTGGTAAGTCACAGTTTGGCTTGCTGTGTCATGTGAATGCAATCAGTATGGAATTCACCAGTAATAAAATCGCTTTTAACAGACAAACTGAAAACTGAAAACATCTGCAACTCCAACTGCAACTGTCTGGCTCCTAGAAAGAGTGGTGAAATAAATATGGGAAGTATTCTATCACTCTTGTCTTCCTCCAACTGTTTTCAACATTCTGCTCTCCTTTGGGGACATTTCACACAATATGAATTTCCTAGGTGCAGTTCACTTCAAACAGGAAATGTTATATTTCGTCAAAACAACCTTCAGCCATTTCAATACTTGGCTGAATTTGTGCATCATTATTTACAGTACTTTCCACATAAGAAGCAATTACCTGTGCATTTTTGGCAATACAAATGGTTGGACCAAGAATCAGACATTATTATAAAATTAGTGCATTTATGTACCTCAAACCCCACAATTCTACGCTTTGCCTTCTTAATTGCTCTGTTCTTTAAAACCTCTTCACTGGCCACTGAGAACGTTCCCACCTGCAAGGAATATTATATTCTTAGAACAAACAAGGTTCCACTTGCACACAGAAAATTGCTTCTTGATTCCCTTCTATTACAAAACTCTAATTTCAAAATACACATTCACTTTTAACACTATAAGGCTCAACATTTTATAATAAGCAAATAGACATTGTATATTCAGCTTTAATAATAGCATTTTACAAAAACTACTTGTGAATCTTTTGTCGATAAAGGGCTTATCACTTGACTGCTACAAAAATATTTAGACTCTGTAAGCCCTGCTTTATCAAGAAACATTCCCAAATTTGCGTCAATAGCAAGTCAAATAATTTCCACCTTTATAACATAAAAAATTATGTCAATATACTTAACAGGTTTCTGCTTGAATATAGCATTTAAAATATATTGTGTGCTTCAATGCCTTTTTTTCCTAATCAAATTTTTCATTGCAACTACTATGGGATATTAGGAAAACTTGTGAAATAAGTAAAACTAAGTAAAATCAACACATTAAATATGTCAGAACATGCCAAATTGGATCCTAACTGATTTAGGGTATAATAATAATAGTAGTAGTAGTAGTAGTAGTAGTAATAATAATAATAATAATAATAATATATTATTATTTATACCCTGCCCATCTGGCTGGGTTTCCCCAGCCACTCTGGGCAGCTTCCAACCGAATATTAAAAACAATACAGCATCAGACATTAAAAACTTCCCTAAACAGGGCCGCCTTCAGTTGTCTTTTAAAAGTAAAATAGTTGTTTATTGCCTTGACATCTGCTGGGAGAGAGTTCCACAGGGCAGGCACTACTACCGAGAAGGCCCTTTGCTCTCAGAAATCCGCTCTCAGTCCAAACCTTTTACATCTTTGTAGCTGGGTTGTTTTCAGTTTCTTATCTCATCGTCTCTGGCCTGTAGTTTGCTCCAACTAAATCCCAATTAACAGGATAACCAGGAACGGGATGGGGGGGGTGGGTTTGTGGCAGCCAGAGTACTCCATGCACCCAGTGCCTTTGCCTGCCCTTGCATTCCATGGGGAAGCAAGTGCCAGACCGCCAGGCAAACTGCGGGTGAGAGCTTGGTCCCTCTTCCAACCAAAGAGGAAAACAGATAATGAAATTCCCCCATCATTATCTGATTATCTCCATCTGTCTCTCTCACACAGTGTTGGGAGAAACTCCATTCCTGGAGCACTGGAAACAAGAAGCCAAAATTGAATACATTCATGAAGTTATTAGGTTGCTGATACAACATATGACACAACTCATGTACAGTTAAGGTCAAAGGAAAAAATCTGAACTAATTTTAATGGCATTAGGTTTCACTTATGGCCTTTGAGATGATTGCAAGTTTTCTAATCCAATAAAACAGATTTATGGAAATGTAGGTAGTAGCTGCTAAGGAAGACTAGAAACAGCTTTGGTTATTGGCATTTTGAATTTCAGGAAGTGCATTCCATTTGCAAAGATGTGAAAAGGTTTAATGATGCTCTGAGATGGGCCATTACTGAAAAGCCTAGCACCACAAACACCCCAGGACCTCTAAGCTTTTTTCTGTTGCACTCATTTGACAAAGGACTAGAATAACAGCCTTGATTTTCACTACACAAAATGTAATCTTGACACTGCAACTCTTAGGCAAAACACATCCGTTGCATATAACTGACAAAACCATCCAGGGCCTGCCCAATACATTTTGGCACCTGAGGCAAACCGTGAAATGGTACCCCTCCCCACCAGGGAAGAAGGAGTGAATGCAGATCTACATCAGGAACAAGAGAGACTGGGAACCAGGAGAGGAATCAAATCAACCTTGCTTGAGAGCTGAAGTTGGAATCAAAGGATGTAAAGGGGGAGATGATGACCCCAGAAGGCAGCTCCTGCCATTTCCTCCCTAGGGGTGAGAGGAGAAAAGCAGTGCCTCCTATCTGCTGAGATTTTGCTGTAGAGATAGCACTGCAGGGTGGGGGTGGGGGAGCTGCCAAGAAGGCAGCAGATCCAGCCTCCATGAGGTGTGCTGCAGCCATTGCAGCCTATGGATCACTTGCCTTGTGAATGAGCCAGCCCCTATACTAGCTACATGAATGTGATTGCAATTAATTGTTGCCCATAGATCTATGAAAGTTACAAGGGAGAATCCCGCTTACCTGGCATAATCTGTTCTTTTTATTTTTAGCTTGCGATACAGTGCCAACATAGTAATAAAATGCAATCATTTAGTTTTCCATGATCTTCCTATTGATTCTAGCAACTATTTCAATTTTATTTCTAATAAAAGCATCTGACCTTCCTTACCTCTTCAGTTTCTTCTTCTTGATCCCAGTTCCTGTCAGTCAGTTCCTTTTCTGCTACTCTCTTAGCCATTGTACAGCACTACTGTATTAGAACAAATAAAACAAAAGAGTAATCAGCCATGCTTCACATCTAGTGGTTTTTAAATAGGTGGCAAGCAACTTGCATTACCAGACACTACATAATAATTCAGTGACTTGTGATGGATTTTTAAAAAAACGAAAATGCACTAAATGGTTCATTATGTAATGCCTTAGTGTTAAAATTAAATAAGTCACAAAAAGAGTAATCAGATTCTGACAAATGTAAACCATTTCATCCATAAAAGAATGTTGCTTTATGTATCTCAAGGTGTTCTCCAGTGGCCTGTCTGTTTCCTTATCTGTTGAACCTACACAGGCACCAACATTTCCCACAGAAATAGTTCATTAAGAGTTTCAATATAGAATTAAAACAAATTTACAGTTTCAGTCACTTGCTACTTTTGATGGTATATGAAAACATCACATTGTTGAAATACTACTTCCTCCTTTACATAGTATTTTAGGTTTGGAAAAGGGATGTTTGTGGCACACTAGGAGACACGTAGTGGTCCAGCCATGAATGCATTAGATTTATACTCCCACTTGTCCGCTGGTTCAGTATATTTGAAGCAAATGCACAGCAAGTCATTGGGAGAAGGTAGCTACTGCATATGTACTCAATTTTATGCTTACATGGTACTTTTCACAAATTAGAATTTACTTCTTGGACTCTTGTTGGTTAGCCATCACGGATCTAATTCAACACTTTCATCCCATATAGAATAATAATGTTTAGTATCATTCAGGAATATTTTCCATTATTTTTATGGACTGAATTATTAACACCTACAACATATTTACTTTTATCTTCCCTGCTTATCAGATACTAAGGAAACCAAATTCCAGGCGCTATGAAGATTAAAATTTCCCCACCAAAACAAAGGGCTGCATTCAACTAAACTGTTGCCAGCACAATGATACCTGCTAGCGCAATGGGGCTTTCCCACTCTCCTGCCACAGTGTACACTTCCCAAAGATGCTCTGGAGGATCAGGAAAATCCCCATAGCAGCATGCAGGGGGAAAAGAGAGGAGATCCATCAGGCAAGAAGAAATACTTCTGCTGACAATACTATCTCTTTAGCACTGTGTTAATTACAATCCCAAGTTTTGTGGCACCTTATCATGGCATAAACTTTGGTGGAATTAAACACCCACTTCTTCAACTACATAAAGGTCTTGAACAGCCAACTGTTTGAGATGCCTCAAACAATCATTCAAATTAGGCCTTTATGTAGCTCATGAAATGTGCTTTAAGTCAGCAAAAGCCTATAGCTGTCTACTTTTTTTGTGGGCCTTTTCCTGGTTTCTCTAACAGCAGACTAACAATCAAGAATTAGTCAGCTGAAGCATTTAGGGTGTCAGTTGACTGAAAAAGATGCATGGGGGGAAAGAATAGGCAACATCCAATAATAGGCAGGTGGATGCAACAGAATGTCCCCTTCACCTGCCATCCCTCAAAGTCCCCTGTGATACCATCTGCTCCAGATTGTCCCTTGATCCTCTGTAAAAGATTTTTGGGTAGACAAGGAAATCTAAACTGTGCAATAAGTCAGTTGCACAAGCAGCAAGTCATAGCTGCTTATCACCCAATGTTAACATTAGCACAAGACGAGCATGAGATGCAAAATGCAATATGCAAGTGTGTACAGTGACTATTCACAACAGTAATAACTGTTGGTAGCAATTATTCCTTGCTTTGGAAATTTAAATTTACTCAGGTACTGGGAAGTAACTTGAGTAAATTCTTGAGACTGATTAAGCCCCAAAGAAATAGACTGTGCTGACAAGACTGCAAAACGGCTACTACCTTAGCATAGCAAATCAACGAAGAATGCATTATCAAGTGGTGTTGTGAGCAGTCACTGTACCTACCTTGCACATATCTAAGTTCAGCGTAGAAATATCATAGGGTGCAACCTCTTAAATTTCAGGGCACATATGTATCACATCTCTGCTTTGAAGGCACAGCCAAACGAAGCAGGTTTTCTGCAGGGAGCTCTCTTACATACCTGGGCCAAGCAGGATCGCCCTACCTTTGCATCAGCTGATAAGTTTAATCCTGTTTTGCACAGCCACCTGTCAGGTGTTCCTGACAAGCAGCTGGTTGTTGGGTGCTCTGGAAGCTGAGCAAAGGGGCTTTGCCTGTATGATGTCAGGTGTACAGCTGGAAAGTATGCCCAAAGTGGTCTGGGGGGCCAAATGGAGAAACTTGGGTGGGTAGGGGGCAAGATTGGTCTGCCTCAGTAGGATAGAGGCATATAATTTGGAATGATATGAGAAGTGAACCTGTGCTTCCCACTTGTCAAAACATTCAAGCACCGTGAATTCATGTTTACTTATAGTACATAATCATTATAAGCTTCCCACTTGTACCACCACAAACCAGAAGTTCCTGATCTATCTCCTAATGCTTTCAGAATGCTGGAAGATGAAGCTATGTTTCAAAGAAGGCAAGCAGCAGCTCCTATATGTGGTTGATGATGTCATAATGCAGTGGCGGCAAAGAGGAGAGCATCCTCTAGCTTCTGGGATAGTAGCAAGGGTTGTTATTCATAGTCTGTTTTCCCAACAAAAGCCCTGTAAGATAGGTTGGTATAAACAGAAAACTGAGAAAAAGCCACTTGCCCAATGCAACACTGTATAATCATGTCTGAAAACAGACATGAGCTCACATCTCTTAGATGCAAACCAAACACTCTAGCTTTTCAACCATTGTGGTGCATATGAAGAGTGCCACAAGGCTTAATCTGACCCAGAACCTCTTTCCCAACATCAGGCCTCCAATCTGATCAGATAAAGAAATCAAGGCGATAGTATTTCTAAACATGCATAAACTGTATTTCCCACACTACTAAGTAACTACCCTCACCACATTTAGGATAAGGAATAATTCTGAAGCTTGAGAGTTGACTGGCCAGCTAGCTGGAGCCCATCTATGAGTCCCATTTTCTCTCTCTTAACTGGCCCCTGCTCCTGGTGTCTCTAACAGCTGCCTAACTTACAGACATTAAGCAGCTGAAGTGTTTACTGACAACTCTCTTTTCTTTTAGAAATCAAACTCTTGCCCTGCCTAGGACTGACAAAAAGCAGTCACTCTACCTACCGGTAATTTTAACCACTTCTTTAAAAAGGGCATTAAAAGTTCACATTCGTTCCAAATCTGGCCCCCGTGACCAACCACTCACACATACCTTTGAAACCCAGGCACCACACAAATCAAGCAGCTCTTATGCAGTATACACACACATCTTCACAGGAGGAATGTGCTGTAGGTGGTAAATAAAAACAAATATCAAGGCAGGACTATGGCAAGCTGCAAGGATTCACTGTTGTCAAGACTTAAAAACAGGCTGTGCCCCTGTATTTTAAACAGGACCGTAACACTCAGAAGAGTTCAGAAGGAAGAAATGTTTTACTTGCCACTCAACTCTATGCCAAAGAAAAAAAAAGAAAAGCTTCACCACCTTGAACTTTCTGTGTGCTTTTGTGCTTAGGCTGCTGCTGATAGAACATAGGCAACACCAGAAAAACAGGAGGTGGCAATCCAAGCCCCAAAATCAGAGCCAGTGTGCCATAGGTGCCTGGCAAAAACATTCCTCTTCTCCCAGACTAATTCTTCTACTCTCCTCTGGCTAATTAAACAAGCTATGGCCTTTAAAACCCTGTGTGTGTGTGGTGATGGTTGGGTCATTGTTTTGTTTGTTAATATGTTATGTACCTTTGTTTTTTTAATATGGTAAACAGCCCTGTGGTTCTCAGACAAAAGGTGGCATAGAAATGTAATAAATAATATGAATAGGATGAGGATCGTGGCCAGAGTCTTTGACTTGAGGCCTGGGAGAGGCCAGGGTTCAAACCCTCCATCGGTGGGGGAGGCGGTCCCTGCCTCCTCTCCAGAGGCCTCGGGGACTGTGCTCCCCCAGGACCCTCCCCTGGGCACCCTGAGGGGCCAGGCAGAAAACCCCGACCCTGCTCCCCGGGGCGTTCGGCCGGTTCCCGTCCTGCGGCTCCTTAGATGTGCCTGAGGGCTATGGCTTTGCTTTTGCTCCCCCGCCTCTTCTTGTGTCCTCATTTCATGCCGCGAACCCTCCTGAGATCTAAGGATGAAGACTCGGCATACAGATTCCACACACAGAAACAACAGGGTTGCTTTTCTGCGGGGAGCAAGTGCCACAAATGAATAACATATTCAGCCTCGGGTCCCCCTCACCTTCCTCCCGCGACGCGGCTCCCTCAGCGGCGGAAACTGGCGAGGGAGCCGGCCGCGCGCCCTAGAGCGGCAGGCCGGTCTAGGAACCCGCGCGGCGCCTCCTCCTCCGCCTCCCGCCCCAGCAAAGCCGGAAGGAGCTGTCAGCCGCGCGCGCCTAACGGCTGCCTCGGGAGCGGACTTCCGCCCGCCCCGCCGCGCGCCCCCGGGGGGGGGAAGGCCCGCTGCACTATCCCGGGCCGTTTCCCGGGGAAGCCGCCCCGCTCCCCCCGGCCCCTCTAGCAGCGCTCGCTGCGGGGCTGTTACCTGATGGCGCCGCGGGCGGAGAGAAGGAGAAAGGCGGGAGGCCGGGCGGGCGGGCGCGCGCGCAGCAGAAAGCGCGGCCGCCACCACCACTTCCGCTTCCGGCTCGCCCGCCGGCCCTTGCCCCGCCCACCTGCGAGGGGGCGGAGTGTTCCTCCGCAGCCGCGCGCCTCGGCTCTCCGCCGGGCCGAAGCACTGCTCCGCCAGACGCCGCCGCTCTTCTTTCTCCCTGAAGTTCCGCGCTTAGTTCGAGGACTACTATTCACTCTGCTGTTGAAAAGGATTTCCATATATATTTCACTCACCAGGTTTCTCATGGTACATGAAAATATAAAGGACATATGGGCTGACATTCTGATGATGATGCGTAGAATCTACAAAAATAGTTTTGCCCGTGAGCAGAACCGATTCAGCAATAAACTCTCATCTGAAAACATCCCCCAAAATCAATGAATTTGTTAAAACATTATTTTTAAAACTTTAGTTAAATGGACGGAGCAATCCTATAGTTACACTGTGAGAGATACGTAAGAAGAATTACTGCTGTATCCAAGGCCTGCTTAAGCTGGGAGAAGGGAAAAATAATGGGGAAATACCAAAATTGGTGACCCCTCCCTGCATAACAAACAAAACTCACATTAAAGTCAGATATAAGCAGGTATCAGATAGCATTCTAACCAACTTCATGGATTTTCTGGTTGCAAGGTAATAGGAATGAAGTTATGCATCACCCAATGATATTTAACTGATGGCTATATGATCTTCACTGAGGTATACAGGTGAAACTCGGAAAATTAGAATATCGTGGAAAAGTTCATTTATTTCACTGTTGTTGTTTAGTCTTTTAGTCGTGTCCGACTCTTCGTGACCCCATGGACCAGAGCACGCCAGGCACTCCTGTCTTCCACGGCCTCCCACAGTTTGGCCAAACTCATTCTGGTAGCTTCGAGAACACTGTCCCACCATCTCGTCCTCTGTCGTCCCCTTCTCCTTGTCCCCTCCATCTTTCCCAACATCCGGGTCTTTTCCAGGGAGTCTTCTCTTCTCATGGGGTGGCCAAAGTCTTGGAACCTCAGCTTCAGGATCTGTCCTTCCAGTGAGCACTCAGGGCTGATTTCCTTCAGAATGGATATGTTGGATCTTCTTGCAGTCCATAGGACTCTCAAGAGTCTCCTCCAGCATCAGAATTCAAAAGCATCAGTTCTTTGGTGATCAGCCTTCTTTATGGTCCAGCTCTCACTTCCATCCATCACTACTGGGAAAACCATAGCTTTTACTATACGGACCTTTGTTGGCAAGGTGATGTCTCTGCTTTTTAAGATGCTGTCTAGGTTTGTCATTGCTTTTCTCCCAAGAAGCAGGCATCTTTTAATTTCGTGGCTGCTGTCACCATCTGCAGTGATCATGGAGCCCAAGAAAGTGAAATCTCTCACTGCCTCCATGTCTTCCCCTTCTATTTGCCAGGAGGTGATGGGCCCAGTGGCTATGATCTTAGTTTTTTTGATGTTGAGCTTCAAACCATATTTTGCATTTTCCTCTTTCACCCTCATTAAAAGGTTCTTTAATTCCTCCTCACTTTCTACCATCAAGGTTGTATCATCTGCATATCTGAGGTTGTTGATATTTCTTCCAGCAATCTTAATTCCGGCTTGGGATTCATCCAGCCCAGCCTTTCGCATGATGAATTCTGCATATAAGTTAAATAAGCAGGGAGACAATATACAGCCTTGTCGTACTCCTTTCCCAATTTTGAACCAATCAGTTGTTCCATATCCAGTTCTAACTGGAGCTTCTTGTCCCACATAGAGATTTCTCAGGAGACAGATGAGGTGATCAGGCACTCCCATTTCTTTAAGAACTTGCCATAGTTTGCTGTGGTCGACACAGTCAAAGGCTTTTGCATAGTCAATGAAGCAGAAGTAGATGTCTTTCTGGAACTCTCTTTCTTTCTTGAACAGATCTCTGGTTCTTCGCATTCTGTTGTTTTCCTCTATTTCTTTGCATTGCTCGTTTAAGAAGACCTTCTTGTCTCTCCTTGCTATTTTTTGGAAATCTGCATTCAATTTCCTGTATCTTTCACTATCTCTCTCGCATTTGGCTTGCCTTCTCTCCCCCGCTATTTGTAAGGCCTTGTTGGACAGCCATTTTGCTTTGCTTTCTTGCATTTCCTTTTCATTGGGATGGTTTTTGTTGCTGCCTCCTGTATAATGTTGTGAGCCTCCATCCATAGTTCTTTTATTTCAGTAATTCAACTTAAAAGGTGAAACTAATATATGAGATAGACTCATGACATGCAAAGCGAGATATGTCAAGCCTTTATTTGTTATAATTGTGATGTCCATGGCATACAGCTGATGAAAACCATGCAGGTGTTACGGAAGACCAGGATGCTTCAATAGCAGCCTTCAGCTCTTCTGCATTGCTCGGTCTCATGTCTCTCATCTTTCTGTTGGCAATGCCCCATAGATTCTCTATGGGGTTCAGGTCAGGCGAGTCTGCTGGCCAATCAAGCACAGTAATCCCATGGGCATTGAACTAGGTTTTGGTACTTTTGGCAGTGTGGACAGGTGCCAAAGTCCTGCTGGAAAATGAAGTCAGCATCCCCATAAAGCTCGTCTGCGGAAGGAAGCATGAAGTGCTCCAAAATCTCCTGGTAGACAGCTGCACTCTTCCATAACACCTCAGCAGTGCCACAGGCTGATAGCATCCATGCCACGCCGCATTGAGGCAGTAATTGATGCAAAAGGGGCCCAAACCAAGTACTGAGTACATGTGCATGCTTCTACTTCTCAGAGGTCCAATATTGCTCTATTTGCAGTCCTTGTTTTGCTGATTTCATTTAATCTAATTTTCTGAGATTTTTTATTTGGGGTTTTCATCAGCTGTATGCCATGATCATCACAATTAAAACAAATAAAGGCTTGACATATCACGCTTTGCATGTCATGAGTCTATCTCATATATTAGTTTCACCTTTTAAGTTGAATTACTGAAATAAATGAACTTTTCCACGATATTCTAATTTTTCCGAGTTTCACCTGTAGTTGCACTGAGATGAAACATTCATGGTTACTATATGGCAAAAATCTTCTGCAAAGGTTGTCACAGGTAATGAATAGCTAAAGATTCAGTTTCTTGAAACCATAATGTTTGGTTCATAAATTTTAATTTATTTTATAGAGTTCAGACACTGTTTACGGTGCAACACCGACATACAGTGGAATAACATCATATAAACAGAAGCTGGTTACAATAAATATTAAAAAATTGCAGGAGTAGATAAAATTAAATCTCATGCTAACATACAAATAGTTAACGAGGCGATATGCGTCATATTGTGTTGACATGCAAAGTTATTTTTGAGTTGGGAAAACCACTGCAGTTTTGGAAATCAAATACTGTTGCTTTACATTTGACTATACCAAATAACATTTTGCCTTTGTTGTTATTTTTCCTTGAACCTCCCCACACAATACTGGGAGCTTTAATATAGTCCATGCAAATATTTGCGAATCTGGATGCACTTTTGTGTGTGTGTGATTAAATGATATACTTCAGAGATTATTCATCCAACAGTACTGAATCCTACTGTGAGGTTTGGTCGGTACATAGCGTATGGCGACGCATGCCAAAGGCAAACCCATCTTCCAGAGTGTCTTCGCAGGCCAGGAGTTTTCATCATCCCTCAAAAGTGCTGGTTTAGTTTTATTTAGGAACCTGGAGTTGCATCCAGCACCACCTTCCATCTAAATAGAGAATGTAAAGATTATAGCTTTGTCTCTGCAGGGAATCAAAGGGACATAAAGAGGAATGGAAAAGGTAATCCAGAGCTGCCGCTAGAAGGCACATTCTATTTACATTGAAAAGGTTACTACTCACACTATTTTCATCAGCTATCACAACAGGACAGCAGAAAATCTTTGGTTTCAATTGGTGGTCTCTAACTCAGGGCAGATTACTTCAGGTGCAGCTTTTCCTTGTTCTAAGTCACAAAATAAGAAGCTCACTCCAAAAAGCCATGCTGAGATTTAATAAATGATACAAAGGAAAGGTTTTGAGGGGAGTAGAGGTTCAGTACAGATTTTATTTTTCTGAAAGTGCCTTTTTTAAAAAGCACTTTCCCAGTCTGCTGTTTGCATAGTCAAAATCATTTGCAAACAAACTTATGCTGATTGTCCAATTGTTAAGAGTAAAAGGGAACTCCACTCCCCCCAGTTTAAAAGGTGAAGAACGTGCCAAACTGGTTTTGCAGATTTGAAGTCCTCCTCACCACTCTAGAACTGTGCAAACACCTACAAATCAGTTGGCTTTGCAGGTTATGCAGTTTTACTGTGTTAACGGAGAAATCTGAGGGCTCCCTTGGACAAAAAACAAGGACACCAGCCAGGAATACCAGAGCAAAACAGCAGCTAGTAGGCTTGGTCTTTATTGAAGACTGTCGCAACAGGACTCCCACCTGCCACCAGGTAAAACAAAATGGAAGCCCAGAACAAAAGAAGACCCCAACTTTTATTAGTCACTAATCCCCCAAACTACACCCCTAGAACTACATCACAACTACATCATTGACACATCACCAAAAAAAAGGGGTTGAGGGAGGAGTTGTGGAGGCAACCTAAGTGTCTTGTCACCTGGGTGGTTCCTCCTTTCCCCCTCCCCATGAGTCACTTCCAGGAGACAAAGGGGAGCTGGCAGTTTCCTGCCCCCAGAGGGAAGATCTGATCATTGTCCTTTGTTCCAGTCCATGTTGAATCCACTCCCATATGCAAGTCCTTTGTGACCTTGATGGTCTTCTGTCTGGGACCATCAAGGTTGTCATGCCAACTGGGTAGGGCTCCTGTGTATGTGCTGGTATGGTTAAGGGATTATGGCCGTCCTGTATCATACCATCCCCCTTTGATAGTCCTTCCTTCATGGAGTAAAATAAAAGTGGACTGGTGTAAATCCAATGTATGGTTGATTTACTATGAATTTATAACAGAAATGTTGCGTATGTTGTGTGTGTGTGTGTGTGTGTCGTGTTTGTACAAACCGAATGATTGGGGGGGGGGGAGTTCCTGCAACAACTGTGACCAGCAAGAGTTTTCTTATGAGTTTCATTGAAAATAACTTTCACACGTTAGTCTGCCAAGCAGTCTGGTCAGGCTGTATAATTGAATGGGGAAGTGACATTGCATAACGCAGCTGAGCATTATGGACTGCACAAATCTGTATTCTGAATGAACAATGAACTTCAGAAGTCTCTGTAGTCTGAGTCATAACCAGATCCTTCTGGTGTTGCAGTTTTAGACTTGCTCCTGTGTGGACTCAGGCCTGGGCTTGACGGTGCAAACGCTACCTGCTTCGTAGTCTC